AGCTATTACATTTTATTGCTGCCTTGAATATCCAGCAAAGCCTTTTTAGAAAGAAAAGCACTACGTTTACAACATGCAGAGCTAAATGACATGGAGTTTTCATGGATAGGGATAAAAACTATTTCTGTATCTTTATATTTTTGAGTGAATAGAGGACCTCTGCAGCTGATACAAAATCGAAACTTTGGAAGGATTAATTTCAACATTTGATAGGGGAATAGTATGCCCCTATAGTATAAACTTGGATGCTTTTTTCTTGTTTTACTGGGAAAGTGTAGGGAGACCACTGTTCACGTCCCCTAGGACAAAATACATCCTTAACAGCTTAACATATCTGCAGTCTCTTATTTCCTGCATGATTTCTAGTCTACATACTTACTAGTCAGTATAGTCTACATACTTACCAGTCAGTGTCATGTATCTTTGTTTATGTACAGCATTTGATACTATTTGTACACAGGGGCAGAGGTAATGTTTGTTCCACGGGTCTTGTATGGTTCATATTCTTTAAATAAGATTCTAAATACATTATCTGGAAAACATGCAAATGGCGCTCTCTTTCGCGATGTTGTTTTATCACACGCTAAAATGTAACTTTACTGGTATGGCTTTTGTAGGGAGAGGAATACATTCATGCATAGTTTTTAACCTATAAAGCTCTTCAAGCATTTCTGCCAGTTTAAAACATGTTAGTGTCACGTTTTGTCAAGAATCACTGAGTACGTGATTCTTGACAAATTCTTTCTATTATGTGGGATAGCAGAAGCACCAGTGTTCTACACTTCTAAACCTCTCATCTGCCCTGTATTTCCCTTTTCTTCTTATAAGATATTTAAAGGGCCAAGGCCTTTTACCAAAAGAATGTGTTTATTTTTAGATCATTTTCCAAACATACACAGTGCTACAGATCAACTGCTGTTTATTGATTTGTTGTGTCAATAATTCCATTAACTGTGCTTCATATAATTCAGAATATGCGCTACTGCCCAAACATATGGTGTGGCACCAATAGCAGGGGACAAGAAGGAATGAGCATGAAGAAACTAAAGTTCAGGCAGCGCTTCCCTTCCGTGCTATTAAGTTACTTAGTTCCAGTACACGGTGTTGAAGGAAACTTTACTTATTGCATTTGTTACACTGTTCTGACAAATTCCAAGACTTGCTCCTTTAATGAATAAGTTTGGCAAAAACCGAGAAGGAAGAAAATGAAATGGAAGTGGGTTCCACCACTAGATCCATTGTGTTGATTATAAAGAATGTTTTTTGCAATGGATAGGATACTTTTTCCAGATTAAGTAGGAAATACATAGGGGAAAACTATATGCAGTTGGTATACAACTTTAAGGTTGTATCCAATCCATCACTGCTCCTGACTATTGCTCCTTCATATGTTGTCCTGGAGGCTGGGCTGCTTTAATGTAGAATTGAATCTTCTCTGTTTTCCCCGTCTCCCAGGTAAATATTTGTTTTGTTCATGTTCTCCCCTCGAGTTAAAGCCTCTGCACAAGTAAGCAGAAAGCCACTGATAAATTGTTATGGAACCTTGGCTGCATAGTCATTTATCAAACTCTTTTCACCAGCCATAAAATTTATGTATCTGATGATCTCTCACAGCCTTCCATTATGTAATTAAGATTTAGATTGCTTGGTAAATTTTCTTATTTTTTTTAACAGTCTTTGGCAGTACTTCCTGAAGTGCATCTAATTCTTAGTATTTACTAATGGATTCTTGGTGTTAAACCAAAAAGTCATGGATTTATCTTCGGGGCACAGCATGGAGTTGTATTGGCTTACGTGCTGATTTTGACTGCGTGAAATCAAATGCAAGAGAGACTTGGGCTTTTTTTCTTTGTTACATATATAAATTTATCTTTATATGCTTAATGAAAAAATGTATTTAATACGCATATAGTTTATATTACACAAATGCAGTAGCAAAATTGAAACTGTAATATATACATAATATATTTGTACCTGATTTATGAGAAACTGTTTGTTTTGTCTCACATTACTGGATTAATTGGAACAGAGCCATAGTCAAAAAGCATGAAGGGTATGAGTACATTTAGCAAAGGAGCCTCACTCTGCCTTCTACCATAAGGTCAATTGTCTCCTGCTAGGACAAATTATTCTATGCACAATTCCCTTCCCCTAAGCCAGGAGGAGAGTTCTTCCCAGTTACTTGATCAATTTAGGTTTCTTTGTGTTGTAGAGGAGCAGCAGACCTGGAACTGAATCGCTGCTGCCAGTGCAGCTCATCCCGCATGAGTTGCTCTGTGGCATCCTTCTCTATTTAATGGTGTCTCCTTAGCGTTTCTGGGATGTAAGGAGGCTGCTAAGTTGAATGTGCTTAATAGTGTGTGCATGGTAGATTCTTTCTACGTGCATAGTAAGTAAATCAGCACTTCTGCAAAGTGCAGACTTAGAGTGCACCCACAGATTGAGACTTTCTGTAAGCTGTAAGTCTGGTTGTGCGTTGTGAGGGGTGGGTTGAGGCGTGGTAATGGACAGCTCTCTTGTGCTAGTACAAGGCGGGGGCCTGCCAACATCAAGAATTTGGGCATTGCTATTCAAAATGTGGTCGAAGTGAGAAGAGGAGATACCAGGAGAGACTTGGGACCTCTAAAGAAGAGCCATGGCCGTACACTAGCTGGTGAAAGGGGGTACAAGCAACAGGTCCCTTCTGTGTGGAGCAGAACGTGGCACCTTGTGGAGCTGCTGTGGCTGTCTTGTGGTAGGCTCAGTCTATGAGCCATCGTTGTGGCGGGTGAGGGTGAGAAGCCAGGGCATCCTGGAAGGCAAAGTGTGTGCTGTAAAGTGGAACAGAAAATATTTCTTAGTGTGTATTAAGGAAAGCAGAAAGTGAAAATGTCATTGATCACCGTTCCTGGGCAGCTGGCTCTTAGAGATGTACATGACCTTTCAAAAAGATCTTGGGTACTTCCCCTTTTCTCATCTTTCTTAATGCGGAAATCTTGCTTGGTTTTTGTTGTGTGTTTTTTTTTTTTCTTCCTCAGGTTGGGCCTTTGCTTGCAGACTTTCTGATTTTAAGCATGAAATTGTAGCAGGTCTTGATCTATGTACCTGTAGCTTTTCCCACCCCTGCTCTCAGGGGAAATCAGCCTCTGTTTATTTGTGTTATGAAAACATGTAGCACACACCTCACCAGAGCATGGTTCATGTGCACGACAGTCAGGTCGCTGCGACACAGAGCCTGGCAGGTACCATCTTTATGTTGTTTCAGCACTGGGAATGTGCAGTTACTCACTGAACTCCTTCAAACTCCATTTTTTTTGTAAGAAACCATCTGGTTAAGGAGTGAATTCACTACCAAGCCTATAAGAATCAGTGTGATGTTGATAATGTGAATGCAATATCATGTTTGAACATTTTGTGGGTCCTTTAATTGTGTGTCATCTCTATATTTTAATTTTGAATATTCCTTTAGTTGTTGTTTCCAAAGGCTCTCTTCCCTCTTTGGCTGGGTAATGTCATAAATAAAAAAAGACTTTCTAGTGAAGAGTGAAGGTAATTTTGGGAAGTGTGTTTTTTTCAATCCAAAAGAGTAATTGTGTGTGTGTGTTACCCATTTCAGGAAGACTAAAATTAAACTGCAATAATAAACTGTTGTTACAATCTCATTTGTAAATGCTTCCACTCCACCCTGTGGTTCCTCTGCCCACTCCCGTTCACTTCTGTTCTCCTTCACCCATCAAAAAGCATTCATTGAATTAGAAACGTCTGCCTTGTTTCTCTAGATGCGTACAGAACTTGAGAATTAAGGGCTAGTAACGTGAGCAGAGAATACTGTTAAAACCATCAGCAAAGGAAGGCTGCTACAGCCAAATACAAAATTAGAGACCAACATACCAAGCCCACTGTCCCTTTCTTCTTTCCTTATGCTTCCCATCTGCTCCACCTTGCCTTCTTTTGGATTTGGAGGAGCTCCTGTCCCTTAGCTTCTTTTATGCTGTTCTGTGCCTTCCATTTGCTCCTCTTGTCTGAAAGAGAAAGGAGGGGAAGTGAAATGTAACTACTAGCTTGTCCGTGCTTTCCTGTAGCACCTTGTGTTACTGTTGGTGGTCTGGTTTCAACTTCAAATTTGTATGTGAATGTTTTGTTGTTTCTGTATGTTTCTGGTTTGCTGGAAGTGAAATTTCAATTTACAGTATTTTAGATTTTGCCCATAACTGAAAGTAACCTCACAGAAAAAAGACATTTCTCTGCACCCTGCTTATGTTCTCATGCTGAGTTTCAAAGAACTATTCTAAATAATAACCTTCTTCACAAGATGTTTCTGTTCTTAAAGGATTCTTGAATAATACAGTACAGAGAAGCTGCTACTACTGCTCTGTGAAGTTACAGTGAAGACTTAGGGCTCCTGTCTTGCTTTGTATATCTTTAGGCAGTGCAAACTCCAAACACAGTAGAAAGCAGGCATCAACAAAAATAGAGAAAGCATAGTTATGCAGATACTGTGCTTGCTTTCAAGACTCTCAGGAAAAATTTCCTGTTCTCACACTACTCAGGCACCTGTGCAAAAGTGGGAAGATAACTAAACACCTCACTCAGGCTTCAGCATAGTTCATACAGTTGTTGGCAATGCACTTCCATTTCGGAAGTTTGAATACAGATATTACTCACAAGCATAAAAATAATTCAGCAGGTAAAAATACGATTTCACTGGTCAAATCTGTAAAAACAAATTTGCCATAATTCCCCTAATTTTCTTCTGAGCGGATCTTGTTTGAAATAATTATTAAGATCATGTTTTTTTCCGGAATACTGTTATTGAATTTCTTCTGTAAAAGATCTCTGGAGGAAGCTTAGGTATGCACGAGTTATGCTTTAACTGCATAATATTAAATTGCAGCTGTAAAACTCAATTTTGCCTGTCTTTAGTTTTGTAAGGTAAATGTATTTTCTATTTGTGACGTCATGGTCAGAAAATTAAACTATACTGAGTTTTAACTGAAGTATTTCATATTATGTTATTTCAGGTTGTTGGAAGAGGAGCCTTTGGTGTGGTCTGCAAGGCAAAATGGCGAGCTAAAGATGTAGCCATTAAACAAATAGAAAGTGAATCTGAAAGAAAGGCCTTCATTGTGGAGGTACAGTAAGTTTGGTAAACACGGGTTTTTGCAAAGCTTTTTTTCTTTTCATGTTAAATTTCTGGGGACATTTAGAGTATTTAAAATAATGTCTGTATCACATAGCAAATGTGGTCAGTGGTACCCAGTACAGTCCTGGACTCCAGGTCATACCGAACAGGACTCCTATCAGAGCACGCTGCTGCTCCTTTAGTTCACTCCCACAAAAACTGGAACGAAAGGGGGAAAGGGAGTGGGTGAAACAGCAGTTTCTGGTTTCTGTCCCACTGTGGAGTCAGGACACAGACAAAATAACCACCAGAGTCATGGAGCTGATTAATGCTTCCAGGTGCTAAAGCTTTTAGGTTCTTCACACAGTCAGGTCCACGCTCTAAAAATGTTTAATTCAGTGGTTTAAATAATTCTGTTATTTTTATATGTAAGGTTATTAATGACTGTCACTCATTAATAGGGCAAATTAATAAGGGCAAATCAGTCTTCTGTTCAACGTCTGCTTCTTTAGAAAGATCCTGAGCACTTCAGATACGCTGATAAACTTCCACACATAGTATGTTGTAGAATTAAATGTTATCTATATTAAATGAGGTGTATTGTGTTATGCTGCTTAGTAAGAATCTAGGATGTTCAAGATATACAAATGTATTAAAAATGTAACTTTTTTAAGGGGTAAAGGAAGCATATTTGTAATAGGCCTCTCTATGTAAAAATGTTCTTCATTGCCATTGTAGATTATTAATGTTACTCATCTGACTGATTTAATAGTGAGCAGATCAGATCACTTTCTTAGCATTTTTGTGTTGGAAAGAGATCTGAGAATCACAGAAATATTTTAATAATTATTAGGATTTAGGAAGGCCTATGTAGTGCAAGCATAAGATGTAATGCTCCATTCAGGTTTTTTTAGAACTTCTGAAGTGCACAGAAAAAGTAACATTAGCTCCCTAGAGTGGACTACAAACAACATAAGCTGCCTCAGAGGTCTGTGTAAAGGGAAAAAAATTCCTTCTGATTCGTCTTCTGTCTAGGGGCAAAGAAGAATTCAGTGCAAAATAGTCTTGTCTCTCTGTAGCAGGCATGCTTTTTAATACCATCAATTAGTACAAGCCGCAGTAGGCTCTTGGAAACTGTCACATTAATATTAAACCCGATGGCATATTTTATAGGCTTGTGGCTTTTCTCACTTTTTTTTTTTTTTCCAGAACAGTAGCTTTCTTTATAATGAATAAAGCCATTATGGTTCAGATTGTTTATGAGGTCAGACAGTCTGGATTCCAACACTGGGGGCTCCAGGAAGAGCACAAAACCTTTAAAAAGCCAGAGTTACAGAGTGCTTATGATTTGAGTGATCTTAGTACGCTATGAAAAAAAAAATCATTAAATCTGATTTCTCTAACATTTCTTTTGAATTCAGTTCCAGTTAGACACAAATCTAATTATATAAATTAAAATGCAAACAGAAGCATTAGTCTTGTAATTTCTCAAATCGCTATCAAGGGTTATGCAGACAAATAAACTATAACTGCTGTTGCTGTGTCTGAATTATAGATGTGAATATAATATTAGCAGTTTTTTCTCCCATGGTTTGAAATGACGTATGATTTGTATTGCAGCTTCGACAACTAGTCACGAGTAAACCATCCCAATATTGTCAAGTTATATGGAGCCTGTCTAAACCCAGTAAGTTACAGCTTTGTCAGTAAGACAAAAGGTGACTAGCTTACCATATGTAAGCAGTAATGCAGAAAATGTGAAATTTGTATACAAAGAGGGTGTTTTATATACATCTGATACGTTTAAGCTATGATAATGCTTATAGATATAGATACAGATCTGTAGGTTGATTGATATTTTCAGGTTCGTGTCCCCTCCCCGTCCTCTTAGGAGAAATAAATTATGTCAAGAAAACCCCAGAAACTTTCTAAACAGTGGTTATATTTCAATTTGTAAAAATGGCATCTGGTATCTTACATACATAGTGTCATTCAGAACTACAGTTCTGTTAATTGCAAATCAGCAATGCAAAACTAAAATTTATTAGCAACACATGAATCATAGCATGTAAATCAGTTTCCTGCTCTCATATATGCAGTTTTCAGGATTTGCTGTCTTTATGCCACAGCTGCAAACAGTTCCTCAAATTACGAAAGCAGAAGAGCAAGTACTGTGACAGGACAGATACATGCATAACTAATTCTAGTGCAGAATATATAATTGACTAAAATAATGATACATGAATTTTTTTCTTAGAACTAGATACATTATTTTGACATGATATTTAAAATTTTTGAAAGCCACTCTAAAACAAATAGTAAAGGCAAATGAATTACACTTTGAAGACAGCATTTGATTTTCAGGATGGAAGCAGGGGGGAGAAAGTGCATTCTCTTGTTTCCTAACTTACAGTGGGAACTAAGTATAAAGGTAATTTCTTTTGCTTATATGTAAATGTCTACCATTAACCCTGACTCTATGTCATAGATAAATTTTCCATTACCTTAGGTGTGGACACATTGCCATTTTTTTATTTTATTTTTTATTTTTTCAAAAAAACACCGTTTCCTTTCAGTTTACAAAATCTGTTCTCTGCCCCTACACTTTAAACATCCCTATTTTTTGTTCCCTCTTCACAAAGGTGTGTCTTGTTATGGAGTATGCTGAAGGAGGTTCTCTGTACAATGGTGAGTACCATTTCAATATGATGTCTTACTGGAGCTGAAGTATTGGTACTAGTGAAAATATTACCTAGACTATAAAGTTGTTTCATACATATGTCTTAAAAGATTTTTAAAGAGAAAGGAGTGTACTTCTAAAAACCACTTTTCAGACTGTTAGTGTGTTTTTTAATATCAGTTTGTTATTGTTTGTACAAGTCATTGAAGGTTTTCCAGTGGAAGACTTCATCTGAAAAGGACTCTCCCTTGTAAATTCCCTATGTAGTTGTTTAACATGAATTTTAGCAGGGATAGCCCAGAACAAGCAACATCTTTCATGTTCATTGAATCATTGAATGGCTTGGGTTGGAAGCGACCTTGAAGATCCTAGTCTAGTTCCTACCCCCCTGCTGTGGGCAGTGACACCTCCCACCAGATCAGGTTGTCCATGGCCAGGTTGGATGGGGCATTGAACACCTCCAGAGCTGGGGCATCCACAGCTTCTCTGGGCAACCTGTGTGAAGCCTTACCACCTTCTGAGTGAAGAATTTCCTCCCAACATCTAACCTAAATCTCCCCTCTCTTAGTTTAAAACCATTCCCCTTGTGCTAGCATTAACTGCCGGAGTAAAAAGTAAAATGTTGTTACTGGGTGTTAGAATTCTAGCATAAAATATTATGAAAGACATACTAAAACTTAGACATTATTTTGACATTTCTATTAATTAAAATATCCTTTTGCAAGCTGTTAAAGCTTCGCTGATGAAATATTGTTAATTACTTAGGTGCTATACAGCTTTCTGCTTGGTATGTTGTTAACCCTATTGTATCTGTTGTAATATGCAATAAAGTTCTTTTTAGTTTGTGCCTTTGTTTTGCAGTGCTACATGGTGCTGAGCCTCTGCCTCATTATACTGCTGCACATGCAATGAGTTGGTGTTTACAGTGTTCCCAGGGAGTGGCGTATCTCCACAGTATGAAACCAAAGGCTCTAATTCATAGAGACCTGAAACCACCAAAGTAGGTTTATGGCTTATATTTCTTTTTTTTTCATAAAATTTGACTAGAAGATCATTTCTGATAATCTCATTGTATTTGACACAAATGCCTTTAATTGATACTAAATGTATTGGATGTACTGTATTCTAAATGAAAGCTGTGCCTTTGAAACTGCAGTCACAGAGGGATGGTGCATGGTTCAGGAAACAAACTAATGACTTGCTTTCAGTTAAACCTAAAGTGGAAAAACTGTCCTGCTCCTGCCTTCCCTCAAAGAAGAGGATTTTGATAGGGACAGGTCTCCTAATCAAAGTCATTTAAATTGTCCCAGTTTTATGTTGGGTTGTGCTGTTCACTAAGAGAACATTAGGTGGGGGATTGCTTGGTTGGTTTTATATTGTATTTAATCTGGATATCATTGTATATAATCTGTCATCCTTCTCTATCCCCTTCCTCCAGCCCATTTCATTGCCCCTAGCCAGAGTCTCTCAACACTTTTCACCAAAACAAAAACAAATATATTTCTATCCAGTCAGTCTGTTGATTGGATTCATCTGACAGCTTCAGATCTGGTTCTACAGGTTCAGTATAAATGGAGATTTGCAGAATCACTTCTGGTAGTAGCCAGCAGCTTTACCAGATAAAACTAATGTGAAGTGACACTTTGAATCTTGAATTCTGTCTTGTATCCCCACTTTTGATTTAGAGAGCTGTTAAAATGTAGCTTCGAGTTCTTTCATTTAAATAGCTACATTGACTGATATTAATGGGAGTCTTGGTCATCATTCTTATGCCTAAAATTGTTAAAGTACTTGTTTTTCACTCTCTGGCATCTGAAAGACTAATTTTGTCAATATATGCTTAATGGATTGCTATGTCTAAAGATATATATTTAAAATCTTTTAAAATCTGACATACAGAAATAAGAATACATTACAATATGTATTAGATTTTTTTTAACTATTTTGTACACTTAGATTAGGCACAAGTGACCTTACCTATTTCTCAAATTATAAAACAAAAGCATTGAGAAGCACAGCCTTTTAGATACTCAACTATATTAGAATGATAGTTGTTGGGAATAAAAATTCAGTGTTTTATTACCAGACTATTTCATCCTGCAATTACTTTTCTTTTTTCCCTTAACAGTTTGCTCTTGGTAGCTGGGGGGACAGTTCTAAAAATCTGTGATTTTGGTACAGCCTGTGATATTCAAACACACATGACCAACAATAAGGAAGTGCTGCATGGATGGCACCTGAAGTTTTTGAAGGTAACAATAATTATGGTGTTGTTATGCATTCTTTCTAGGGACGCAATTTTGAATTTATTTCTGTAGGAAATAAGAACACCATTTAGTTTATACTTCTATTTCAGTCAGCATATTAAAGTTTGAAACAGCTGAAAAACTCTTGGTAGAAGTCTAACTTTTATTTTAAAATCTGTATGATTGTATACTGCCAAATAATTATGCAGAGTTTCAAAGAGCAGCACCAAACAGACTATCATGGTACCATTAAATAGTTAATAATTATGAATACATGGGGCTTTTACTTGTGTCATTTCCAAGGCTTATATAAGGGATACCTTCAGATAGCTGCTGTTTCTTATTTTATAACTACATAAAACATACCCAGAGGGCTGTTTCTCTGGGATTGTGGCTGTTTCTGAGATTCGTAAGTAATTTCAAACTCTTCTGACATTTAAATATGCTGTCATTACTTTCATTCCCTATTCTGATCAGCTTTTATCTTTAGAATTTGCCTGTTAGTGTCTCTAAATTGAACATAATTGCCTTCATTTTCAACCCTCCACTTTATTGTAACTCCATCTTTGTCTGGTTTTCTTCATGTTTCTTTCCTAGTTTTGCTCGTCTCTAGAGGTTTGATGTACTTCCTCTTGCCTGCATACTTGTTATTAACAGTTAATTTAGTTAAGTAAGAAAGTAAGCTATTTCTTAAGCTGAAGAAGACAGATGACAGTTGATAATTAGATAGGTATAATTGTTTTATGATTATTAGAGAAATAATACAATCATTGTTAGATTGCAAATTAAACGCATTTTACCTAGACAATACCTTAAATTATTGTGATTAGCGCAGAGGGGTCTGGAGGCATCATCTTCGTGTTTTAGGAAGCAGGTGTCCTGCTTTGCTACATTTTGCAAGTACCTCTGGTGCAGTGCTTTCCAAATTTGTGGATCCAAGTGGCTGTTTTTCTTTTACTGTCCTTATACTAGAGAGAAGCAGCAAATTATACATATATACACTAGTTAACAATTTTCGAAGGTGCTTCCTTCTGAGCACCACATTTGAAGCTTTTGTTTTGAAGGTACCTTATATTTCTTAATGTTACTCAGAGGACCCACCTAAAGATGATTTCACTTTGGTGCCTAAAAATTTTCCACTATATCACTTGATATCAGGGAACCTACAGTATTTCTTTAACTCTAGCTAGGAATGTTTCATTTCTTAACACTTGTTTATTATTAAATAATATTGTATACATTACAGATGTTTTATTCTTTTATAAGTAATCAACTACACAATCAGTGTTTAAGCTAGATTTTTTTTGAGTGAAAAAAAATAATCTAAAACAGATTTTAAAATAAATGCATTGTAGTAGGGATTTACAGTGCTTATCCTAATTCCTATTATATGAATGCAACAAGGCAGAACAAAGAAATCTTATATTGCAGATTTATTGCTGGATGGCAGCAAAAGCCTTCAGTTTACATTTGGCTTTATGTACTTTTTTTTTTTTCTGAAAGCTTTTACTGATAATGCCACAGCCCTTCATACAAGAATATGTAAAAAGGGAAGACAAAGGAATCTAGTAACTTTTGTGTTGCAGCATATCAAATTACTCTTGAGGCAGCGATTAAGAACTACTAAAATTATGTCCAAATCATTAAACTTGTTTGCATATACTACTGCATCAGAAATCAACAAAATAAACACTGATATTATTTTAGTGTTTTTTAGAACTGAGTTTTAGATGAGAACTGTAAAGGCACAAGAAGTATCTCTTGTAGATGTCAGTGATCATTGAAGTAATGCTCTAATATTATGAGTTTTCCCCAGTTTTAAGTATTAGGTCACCTAGACCTTGTAACAGATCAAACAGTCTAAATGAAAATAATGTCATTTAGATCAGGATAAAGCGAAAGAGAGCAAGTACTCCTAATCTCTGCACTCCCCTCACTCCCTTTACAAGAAACTGTTTTAAAATGCTTTGGGATAATTGGATACATTGGGGACTGATGGTATATATCTGTTATCCCACCTCTGTTACATAATGAAATGCTGTAGAATGATCTCTCTGTAAGATACTGGTTTTAGACTATCGCTTCAGAATTAGTTCTCAGCCACAGAATAAAATTTGGGTGCTTAAACAGGAGAATAGCATTACTGCCCTGTCATGGGCTGTCTGTCTCCCACTGCATACCACATGGGATCTTTGCTTGGTCCTAATGAAGGAGCAACTTTTTTCTGCTTTAGAAAGCTGTCTCCACTGAAAAGTGACTTCATCTGATCTTCAGATCTGGCAGAGACAAGGAGCCTGAAAGTTGTCCCTTTCTTCTTGCCACACAGAGGTTTTGACGTAGGAGAGGGGAACTACGCTCCTTACTGCTTTGCTCCACACAGCAGTATTAAGGCTCCTCTTTCTGGGATCCAATCTTGCCATGGCTAGGGAGAATGACCAGCAAAAGTGGAGTGGCTAAGACAGGGTTGATTGCGTAGATGAAAGTGCTGTGGCTGCACAGGTACAAAGACTGCCATTGTTAACAGCTACCTTTTGGGAAAAACAAAAAAAAGTGCTGACTGATGAAGCTAATGTTGTTATTGTTACTGTCCCCTTCAGGTAACTTTTAAATTCATTTGCCACATTCAGAGATGCCAGGTTCTTGCAAGTTTTGTAAAATCATTAGCTGTGAGAAGTTCAAATTAGTTGTGCTGCTTAGAGAGGACTTCTGGTTGCACGGCTGCATCCTGTTTGTTCTGTTTGGCTCCCGGACTGGTCAGTGTGTAAGAACTGATCTGAGAGCATGCTGCTTTCCTTGCACAGTTTGTCAGAAGTCTGCAGACCAGAAGAGGATGGCTCATAGGTAGTGTAGAGCTTGTTGCAACTGGGTGTTATAAAATAGGTATCCACAGGAGACTGGAACTCATCAATTCTGCTGTTTATGAAATGATTTGTTTCAATGATGCTTTCTGATTATGTATTAGCAACAAAACCAAAAATCTTGGCCATTCAATGCCAATTTTGATCCTTGCTCGAAGACATGTGAGAAAATCCCTATCACTTATATTTATTCACGTACTATTACATCCTTCACGTTTCTTTTGTTATTTGTATGAGGTAGGGTTACAGAGCATACAGTCTTCCTTTGTAGCCTATGAACATTCTTATTTGTTATTCTATAGCAACTATGTGTCTTCTGCACCTGTAACAGGAAGCTTAGAAATATTCAACTTGTGATCAAAACTTAATTTAAATAACGACATGACAAAAAGAGTAAAAATGATAAACAGGGAAAATAAGATGGTGAAAAATTGGGGCGTCTGCTGATTTGTTCATATGGTAACATTGGTTCTGCTAAAGACCTTTAATTAAGAGCAATGGATATGGCAGAGATTTTTATTGGCTGACATGTGACTAATGTGGAAGAAGCAAGTTCAACAGCCATATTTACATGAAGCAAAAATAATCAGTTAAGTTCTAAATTCAAGAGATCTTTGAAATTTAACAAATTGCGTATGATATTATATAACAAAACTGACATTTTATAATTTCAGGGTGAAAAGGACTGATTTCAAGACAGGCATTCTTAATGATCAGTCATGATATCAGTCTTAAGTTAGCAGATAAAGCAGTTCTAAACAGCTTTAGATTTATTTTTATTTTCTTCGGGAAAAATATGAGGTAAAAAAAAGCATATAGAGCTGTTTTTCATCTCAAATTTTACTTATTTTTAGTGTGTTATATATAAAACAGACAGATTATATTGCTGATTTCTTTCAGGTAGCAATTACAGTGAAAAATGTGACGTTTTCAGTTGGGGTATTATTCTCTGGGAGGTAATCACCCGTAGGAAACCTTTTGATGAGATTGGTGGTCCAGCTTTCCGCATAATGTGGGCAGTTCACAATGGTGAGTTGAAAATGTTTCACTGCGTTTCAAGTTGTATATTTGACCTAAAAATTTGCTAAACATTCTTAAGTGTGCAGCTTTAAATTATTAGTTTTTCAGTTTTATGTTTCATTAAGTAAGCACTTTTTGTCATAAAGATTTAATATCAAGACACTGGCGCTTTTGTATCAGTTCTGGTTTTTGTGTTATTTGGCTGCTGCAAAGTTTGTGTTGAAGAGTGGTGTCCCTCAGGGGTCTGTCTTGGGACAGGTACTGTTAATATCTTTATATATAGACAATGGGATCAAGTGCACCTTCAGCAAGTTTGCAGATGACACCAAGCTGAGTGTTGCAGTCAATACAACAGAAGGAAGGGATGCCATCCAAAGGGACCTGGACAAGCTAGATAAGTGGGCCCACATGAACCTAATGAGGTTCAACAAGTCCAAGTGCAAGGTGCTGTACCTGGGTCGAGACAATACCAGACATGAGGACAGACTAGGAAGAGAACTCATTGAGAACAACGCTGCAGAGTAGGACTTGGGGTTTCTGGTGGACAAGAAGCTTGACATGAGCCAGCAGTGTGTGCTTGAAGCCCAGAAGGCCAACTGCATCCTGGGCTGCAGCAACAGAGGGGTGGCCAGCAGGTGGAGGGAGGTGGTTGTGCCCCTCTGCTCTGCCCTTGTGAGGACCCAATTGGAGTGCTGCATCCTGGTCTGGGGCCCTCAGCACAAGAAGGATGTGGATCTGTTAGGGAGGGTCCAGAAGAAGGTCATGAAGATGATCAAAGGGCTGGGGCACCTCTCGTATGAAGAAAGGCTGAGAGAGCTGGGGATGCTCGTAGAATATCCTGAGTTAGAAGGGATCTACAAAGATCATTGGATCTAACAGACTCTGCACAGGACCACCCAAAAATCAGACCATGTGTCTGAGAGCATTGTCCAAATGTTCCTTGAACTCCAACGGGCAGGGTGCTGTGACCTGGGCAGCCTGTTCCAGTGCCTATCCACCCTCTCAGTGAAGAACCTTTTCGTAATGTTGAGACAATAATGTTCCTAATAATGTTCAGCCTGAAGAAGAGAAGGCTCCAGGGACACCTCAGTGCAGCCTTTCACTACTAAAAAGGGACTTACAATAAAGATAGTGATAGCACAAAAAGGATAGTGATAGTACAAGGGAGAACAGTTTTAAACTAAAAGAGGGGAGATTTAGATTAGGTGTTGGGAGGAAGCTCTTTGCTCACAGGGTGGTGAGGCACTGGCACAGGCTGCCCAGAGAAGCTGTGGATGCCCCATCCCTGAAAGTGTTCATGGCCAGGTTGGATGGGGCCTTGGTCAACCTGATCTAGTGGGTGGCATAGGGGGTTGGAACTCGGTGATCTTCAAGGTCCCTTCCAACCGAAGCCATTCTATGATTTCCTGCTACATATAATTACAAATGAAATAATGAACAAACAAGGGAGAAAAGCTATGGCTAATACATCTTTAAATACTGACTGCTTTCTTTGCAAAATGTCGCTACATCTCATGTGTTAAACACAACTGGATGTCTATTAATTGTACTTGCTGAAATAATAAAAAGGGTAGAAATTGGAACCAAAACCAGATGAATAGATTATATTTTACTTCAAGTGTAGTATATAATTGAAAATGTGCAGAGTCTGTGGAAAAAGTCATCCAAAATTAATGCTTCTGTCAAACTTACTAATACTTACTAATTTTTCAGGAAATTCTTATGAGCAAAAGCAGCCTCAAAAGTCTTTTTTTTTTTTTTTTTTTTGTGAGTTCAGCATTAAGAATCAAAGGCTTTCTATCTTGGACTAGAGCTTTACTCTTCAGAAAGCTGTAATATATTCATTTGTCACTTTAATTACCACTGCAATACATTGTATTTGGTCAGTCAGTGAATTTATTCAAACCGTTATTGAAGGAAAAGTTTTCTGTTTTATTTCTTGTTTGTATGTACCTGTAACTTGTATGTGATGCAAGCAAGTGAACTTTTGTTGTCAGTTCTTTGTTTGAAAGTCAGAAAATCAAGTACAAGCCAGTTCCATCAGACTACAACTAACTATGTATTTTCTTCTATTTATTTAGCAAAATATCAGACAGAGGTTATTCACTGTCAGTCTTCTTACAGTCTGCTTAACGAATTGTTGTTTTTCTAATTTCAATTACAGGTACTCGGCCACCACTGATCAAAAACTTACCTAAACCAATTGAGAGTTTAATGACCCGTTGTTGGTCCAAGGATCCCTCACAACGACCTTCCATGGAGGAAATTGTTAAAATAATGACACACTTGATGCGGGTATAACACTTTTTCTAGTATCTTAATCATTTCTTAGCCTGTTCAGTTTGGAAGTTGAATTACAACAGGTATGCCTTTTAACTCACTTTAAAGGCAGGCTCATGTGTTCTCTCTCCTTCTTTTTTTGATTATAAAGAAAAATTATTATGGTAAAAGAAAAAGAGAGTTATTTCTTATTGGAGGTGTATAGTATTTCATTTATAACAAATATGTGGAAATTAATAATAGGAGTCATAGATGTATTTTAATGCAATACTTAAAATAATTGGATTTACTTCTATATAAATTCTTGTAATCGTGTATAACATATGATTTGTTATGTTTATGAATTATTTCATGAAGTACTGTTTGAATTATTTTAAAGCAATTCTAATTGCGTTTTACTATTATTAACATACTGCTTTTTTTCCACAGTACTTTCCAGGAGCTGATGAACCTCTGCAGTATCCTTGCCAGTATTCAGATGAAGGCCAAAGCAACTCTGCCACTAGTACAGGTACAGTTGTATAAATAAAAGAACACCATAAAGCAATACAGGTGGATTATAGAGCACACTTTTATGTTGATTTGGTATGTTGATTTTAATTTGATTTCAAAAGGTAACCTTTCAAAAATCCTAAGCGTTGGCAGGAATCTATTTTTTTCAGACTTTGTACCACATCGTATTTATATTGTTCTCAGATAAATAGTTTTGCTGAAGCGTACAGGTCATTTTAATGGAAAATAAGCATGTAATAAAAGCTAGCTCAGAATGTCCAAGTTTAAGGTCTCCTTTTTGTTCCCCTGAAGATTGCTAGCAATTGACACTTCCAGTCATGTATAATGTGTAGGAGCTGACATAAATTTTTGACTGTTCTGGAAAGCTGTGCCTGCTTTCAGTTATGATCCATACAGTTTAAACTTGTAGTTGTTTTATGTTCAGCTGCAGTAAGTACAGAAGTTTAAAGAAGCACAAGGAAATCACCAGAAAGGGGAGTAGAACAAAATGTAAGCTAGGCTTTCAAGTAGTCCTGGCCACAGAGAAATCCTTTTACTAATAGAAAGTAAAGATTGTTCAGTTCTCTGATTTTATAGAATACAGTTTTCCCACATCAGTAGTTATTAATATACAGTGTCTTCACCTTTCGCTGCTTGATTTGTTTCTTTCCTATCTCCAAAATGCTGTTATTTTGAATGAAGTTTCACTGGCTACTTTGCAACTCAGCGACCTGCAAATTACATTACAAAATCTTTTCAGCCATAGCATTTTACTGACTTTATCCTGTGTTCTCCACCCTTCAGCACATGATTCTAAGACATGATTTATTACCTTACATTACAAATAAATATTGCCTGTTACTTTTCAGGTATTTGTGCTCCTCTGTAGTAAATGATGGACCTTGCCACGAGTTGTGAATGATGTTGCTGGTTGTGTTGTTAATTTACTATCTACTCTAATTTCAGAGCAAGCTAAAGACTGACCTCAAATGTCACTGTAGTACTTAGTTGTATGTTCTTTCTTCCACCCACTCCATTTTACTTCTTTTATTTGTGGGTCTGTTGCAGTCTTGCCTTTCGTTAAAAGCTTTCAAAAGAGTTGCTCTACAGCAAAGTTAAGCTGCTGAGAATGTTTGAAGAAATGCACAGTAGCATTTTTAATGTAAATTTGACTTTATTGCTCATTTCTAGGTTCATTCATGGACATCACTTCTACAAACACAAGTAACAAGAGTGATGCTAACATGGAACCAGGTGACTTCCAAGGAGCTTCTACCAATGACACTATTAAACGTTTGGAATCAAAATTGGCACAGCAAATGAAAAATACAGCCAAGCAGCCGGTAAGCAAATGTCTCCAGTTTTGAGCCATAATAGAAATGGACAAAGATGGACGAAAGTGTTGCAACTGCTATAAAGCATTAGTGACTATTCTTTCAAATATAGTACAAAATTGGAGTCAGTTACTTACAGGAAAGAGCATGAAAGGGGATGGAAGAATACTGAATGATTCCAAAAATATAAACTGGAAGGCCCTAATAAGGTATCTCCAATGAAATCAAAAAACAGTTCATTTAAGGGGATTCATTAGGTTAAAAAATATGTATATTTGCATGTCATTGCCTGAAGTTAGAACCAGAAGTTTAGTGTGACGTTTATGTGAATTTTGAAAACACTGTTTTATTTCAAGTGGGATGGAAAAATACCAATATTATCTTGTGACAACAGTGTGCTAATTCTTCTCAGTTTGAATGCAACTAAAGTTAATTATTTTGAAAGAGCCAAGGTGCAAGATATTTGGTTCTTAAATGACAGTATTTTTTTTAACATTTTCTAAAATTTTGACTTGTTTTTAAAATCTATGTTATAGAAATTATTTTACCCTACATACTGATTATATCATGGAAGGGCTTCTGCAGAATTTTTTTCTTTCTCTTTAAAAATGTAACTATTGAAACAGGGTGAACCTGGCCGTTTGAGTTTACCCCCATCTCGTGGGAGCAGTGTGGAGAGCTTGTCAGATGTTCGTGGGCGACCACAGTCAGCCCTTGTTTCAGGAGAAGCAAAAAGGATGAGTGCTGACATGTCTGAAATAGAAGCAAGAATACCTTCTACCACAGGTAAAATTATGTTTGGGAGACAGAGTAAGGAATTGGTAAGAAGAAAATAAGTAGGATTTTTTTTAAGACAGTCTTAGAGAAGGTTAATAAAATTAGCCATATGAACATATTCAACTTTTCACGTAGTCTTTATTGTCCTTATTGTCCTTTATTAGTTGCAGGGGAAAGTTACTTCATTCACTGTTGTACGTTCAACTGCCAGACAGGCTGAGTACTTTAATTAGGTATTTTTAATGTCGGGGAAGAGATTACTATTGTCGAATTAGACTTTCACCTTTCTAAAATCATTATGAGACTTGTAAATATCAGTCTAGTTCCAAATGCACAAGCTTTATCCTTTACATCTGAAATAATGTTTTTCCATCTCATTCCATCACAATTATTTCTAAAATAACATTTTCCTAAAGGTTATTCCTCTAGTACTTAAAAATGAAGAGGTAGGTTTGAAATTCAGCATTTTCCCAAATAACTTAAAATTCACTTTAACATATCTCAAAAAGATAAACATTTTATTCATCAGATGAACAAAGCATTGATATCTTTTGTTTCAGAAATAGTAATAAATAGCTTCAGATGCTTTATTTCAGGTAGCTATAAACTGTTGTATCTAAATCCTTGAGTCCCTGAGTGAATTAGAATTTATGTGCAAGTATAAACACTTAATTTTATGGTGAAAGTAATCTTAGTTCTTCCCAAAAGACTGAGTTAATAAAAATGTGTGAAGCCATAGCATTTTATTGACTTTATCTTGTGTTCTCCACCCTTCACTTTCTTGTCTGTTTTCTTCATCAAGGATATTGTTTGTTAATCTATGCAAGTTTTAAGTTTCATATCTGGAACTTTTTTATTTAAATCTGTGGTTATATACCATAATCAGACAAAATTACTTCGGTTAGTCCAGAGTTATGTAGTTGATCTTGTATTTTGCTACCAATCTGATAATTAATCAAAGAACTGTAAGTAGTAAGGAAATATGCATTATATCCTGATTCTTCTGCACCACAATGATTTTACTATTGTTCTTTGTTATATTATGATTATTCCAGGATCTTGTTTTACTAAATACTGAAGATACTCATAGGTTAATATTATCTTGCCCTATATACTTCTTACTTCTATGTTCTTATTTTAAAGACTTATTCCAAGATTTGTCTTTTGTATTGTTAGCCTTTGACTGAATGATTGTGCAACACTTCTCACCCTGAATATCTCTAAAGGTCCCCTAACACAGATGGCAGCTGTGTACTTACCTGATAATAATAATATGCATTTTTATTTTAAAATGTCAGGACTCACTTTAGTCACTGACACTCTAAAGTCAATGTAAAGTTTTGACATTAGTGAAGATAACTCTGGCCTTCCTTTTGTGTGAGTTTTTAATTTTCCTGGTTTGTCTTCCTTAAGTACATTGTTTTGAATAGTAACCATTATTTCAAAACATCTTAAGTTTTTTGTTGTTGCTGTCATTGTGACTGTAACGTTTCTTCTTCTTGAAAAAAAAGAATATATTGAATATAGTAGAGTTTGGGGTGGGTTATTTATTTATTTTTTTAATTACTTCATGCAGTACTAGAAATCAGGTCAAGCCCATCTGACCATACCTTTTTCAAAAAGAGCTGAAATGGCATTGTATGATTTTTTGCTTTGTTTTTTAATCTTGTTATCTCTGTGATAGAAATGATGTTGTGACTTGGGGAAAAAAAAATGTGACTGGGTGAGAATTGGGCTGTTGTTGAGAGTAAATAGTCAAGAATTTTTTAATTTTCTTGCTCCATCTATTGCTAGATTAAGTGTTTAGAGTAAATCACATAATACACGCCAGTATTCTATGTTAAGTTTTAGATAAACATGCTGCAACATTCTACCTTTGGGAGCTGTATTTAGACTTTTCACTAAATGGAAACTTTATCTGTAGGTACTGAAGCAGCAGAATAATAATTAAGAAAACAAATTTTACTCCAAAGCATAGTATGTTTCTTGAACATCATTCAGAAATGAAAAGGTTGGTAGTGGTATCCAGTTTTCAAAACAAAAAATCTTCACTCAAAGGGCAGGAATGTTTGTGCAATGTAATAACAATAAGCATATTTTTCAGAGACAGGTTAGGTTTGCTTTAACAGGAGGTGGTTCAAAGAAACAGAAGTATCCGACTTTTAATCTTGTTTATAAAATAGCTTATGCCCAGCACTAAAGAGGAAGTGTTACATAAGTTCAGGCAATCAAGAATTTGTTCTGAATATACAGGTGATCTGAAATAATTTACTTTGTTCTCTGTTTGGATAATTACATTTGGTTTTCCCTTCTTGTTGCCATGCTGCTTTCTGTGTTTGACTTTTGTGTTGCTAACTATAACTAATTACACGGTGTTGTATTGATGGCTAGTTCTGCGTTTTTGCTTTTTAACAGTTGCTTTACTATGTGTAAGCATGAGTGAAAGGCAATGCAGTTTATTCTGCATGAAATATTTTTGCATGAACTACAGTTTAACAAAGTTTATGAAAAATGCAATATTACAAATTTAATAATTTTGCTATTGCCGTTTTAGTGTTTTGCATGTGTATTGTGTATGTGTATTTTTTCAGCCTATTCCAAGCCTAAACGAGGCCATCGTAAAACTGCTTCATTTGGCAACATTCTGGATGTCCCTGAGATCATCATACCAGGTATCGCAGACCAGGTGATCGGGTCAATTGGTTAAGATGCTGGAATAATGATCAGACTGCTTAGAAAATACTTCTTGCTCCAGCTGCTCTAGGACAGACCTAGAAATAGCCCAGTGTGGGTGTTTTTTTTAATGTCTCTGTAAAGAGGAGCATGATCTTTTTAGTACTAACTTCTATCAGCAAAGGTTTTGATCTTCTAGTCTAACTTATTTTTGCTAATAGAGGACTTTTTACATTTATGATCCTGATGTTAGATTCTCATTATAGAACAGAACTAGGCAGAACTTAATTACAGTACATCATTTGGCAAAGACAGGCATCAGTTGAAAAATTCCTGTCTGGATAATTTATATTGCCCTGATCTTTGTAGTGTTTGAGCAACCATTTTAATCTAATCAAATATTAGTAGGGCAAAAGACTTAAATACACTATGTACAGAACTCCAAATCTGTATAACGCATGTGATTAAACAAGATTAAAGCTTGATCTGTGGAATTTTTATATTTGACTACAGTTTTCCAGAGCTAAAATGTGTTTGCATGAGGTATTTCTGTTGTGTTGAAGATAAACTAAAATTATTAAGACAAGCTTCTGACAGGAAGAGGATCAGGATAATCCTCACCATAGCTGGTAATTTCTGTTGGTACCTTAATGAATAATTCTCATCTATCTCAAATTTATATTTAGTTAGAAATATATCTTTTTCATTCCCATCTTTTATTTTTTTCCCAGTCCAAGTGGTTCATTTTATACTTCTTAAACCCTAAAAATAATTACAATCAATCCCAAACTGTGATAGGTATACCCTTAGTGGTACACAAGCTGTTTCAAAGTGATCTGTCAGGAGATGCAAATAATAGTATCTATTGCTAATCAAGAGAGTCACTAAAAACTATGAACCCCTACTCTAAGTTTTTGTCATCTGAGGAGATTTCCTTATAAATGTTGAGGGGGTTTGGTATTTTAAAGTTGAGTGCAAAAGATAGAGTTATATACAAAAGTTTCAAATAACTTTATGGAAGCTTACGTGAAAAATACAGAATGTCAAAATGTAGCTTCCAAGGAAAAATAGCACAGTCAGTGAAAACAAAAGCTATTCAGCACTGAGACTAACAAATGATCCAGAAAGCTTACTAGGTTTCCACTGTAATTTTCAGACAATCCTGGCCTTCTGTGGTATAAAAGAAATCTTTAGAGTACAGAAAAAGGAGGTGAAGCAATATTCTGAAAGGATCTGTCAAGTTTCACAGTGTCAATAAGTGATGGGAGTTCAGCAAACATGCTCTAAAAGTTTATTGGGCACCTGTTGTCTGCATGTACTGTCTGTCTGCAGCAGCACATAAGGCTTCAAAAAAAAACTTTGAAACTTTTAGAGAAGAATAATTAAAAGGTCAGTGAAAACATATCATATGGCTTTCCCAAAATAGATTGTGCCAAACATATCAGATACCTTTTTGAGGTTTTACTTATTTAGGAAAAGGAAGTCATTTAGATGCCCTTCACCTGGACTATTTTAGTTGAACTTGGCAAGATGGGCATTCTAACAGGAGTTTGGAACAGAAACAAGAGAAATAACAACCTATTGAAGCAAGCATAGGAATGAATTTTCTCAAAATTCACTCATAAGGCATTTAATAAGCCTTAAATGAACAATAAAGTGTTAACAGTAAATTTTGTTATCAAGAGTGATTACTAATAAAGAGAAATATTTGAGTATCATATAGGATGAATTGTGTTGTGATTTGGGGGGGCAGATGGGGACACAGAAACAGGATAAAATTCAGGGTCATACACTGTGTGTGAAGTATTTGTAAAGGGAAAAAAAAAAAAAGAAAACTGCTTACAGTTCCTTTTGAGTGGTATATTTCCAAGAGAGACTAAAAAGCACTAACACTATTTTACAGGCCCTTGTTGAGGTCTGATCTCTGAGGAATTCAACGTAGTATACTGGGCAGCCAGAATAGTGTGTTGAGCCGTAAAAGAAATGTGAACTCTGAAGTAATAGCAAGAAAAGCTACTTGGATCGTATGAAAAGTATGAAGAAGAAAGTGGAAGAGCATGGCTGTTCTAGCCCACAGAATGAAAGCTGAGAAATGAGTAACTTATTTCCTGTAGACAGATCTGCAGCTAAAGACTGGGAAGAGAGAAGCGTTTAAGCTAAAAGACACAGTACTGGCACTAAGAAAAAAGGTGTAAATATGCAAATAAGTCTGGGCTGTGTAATAAAAGATGTCTCTTAGTCAGTACAGCTTCCCAGGAAGAGCTGCAGGGCCAGGAAAAGAAGAACATGTCCCTAGTATTAAAGCAGAGCTTAATTGTTATGTGATGTGAAAATGACCGGCTTCCTAATAAACTAACTATATTTGTCTGTATCCTCAAGGCAGTGTCTCAAAAGCATGTTGCTCTATTTTTCTTCTTAAGACAATATATGGTGGCCTATTTCTCGCCTCATTCCTTTCCTTACTCTTTCATGGCTATCAGTCCTTAGCATGGCTATCATGTCTTAGCACACTTTTCCCCTTCCAGTCATACTTCCAAGCTCTCCAAACTGGCACCTCTGTCTGGATCCCACCCCATTATGTTCCTTAGCACTTCTGCCACGTACCCAGCTCGTCCGACCTTCCCTGGGCACGTCCGTCCGTGGGAAGAGCGAGTGCTGACACTGTCCGTGCTGCTGCCTGAGCTTCTGCTGAGCAGCTTGCTTCCCGCAGAGGGGAGGGTACCAGGCAGGCAGGCATGTTACCGTGAGTCAGCTGCTTTGGGGCTGGGCTATTTTAGAAGCATGAGTACTACATCTGCTGTCGCTGGGGTTTTTTTGTAATGGGTTTTGCCTTGGCCGATTTTCATCCGTGAACTAATTATGCTACCAAGGTTATAAAATACAGATTTTCATCAATTGATGGCAACATGTTTGCAGAAGTGGAAATTTTTAATTTGCCTTTGCTCTTGTTTCTAAATACTTCCGAGTAAGTATAAACAGAAATTATTTTGATTCAAGATCCTATTTTTGTTCATAGTTTACGAAACTTAAAACCTGAAAAATGTATCAGTGAGTTCCATTTTAGTGCGACAGCTTGGCACATGAATTTTCAGTGGTGGTAGACTGTAGCCAAATAGCCAGGTGAAGTATCCTTTTCTTTCCCTTTATTTTATACATAATATGAAGTATAGTACAGATAATATGCACCGATATTTTTATATATTTTTATTATTTTTTCATATGCATATATGAGAAATAAAAATCCTAGTAAGTACAAAAGGCTTAAATAGCTATGTGTGTAAAAGAAAAAAAAAGTATAGTTTTTAATATGATGGAGAAAAATAATCAGAACGCCTTTTGGATACAAACCAGTCAAGCAGCATCTAACAAATATTCTTTAAAGTTCGCCTTTTCTTCACTGGCAAACAGCTCATGCATATAGCATGAATGCGTTTGGCTTTTTAATTTTGTCATCTAAAACTGTACCACAGCATTGAAGTATTTTTATAGCATTGGCACTGCATAAGTGACTACTCAGGATAGACACATTTTGTTGAATATCTTTAGAATAGGAATCATAGAAATCAGATGCTTTAATCTGTGATTTCTACATCTATCTCAAAGCCTGTATAAGCCAGAAATCCTGCCCAGATCACTTAATTCTTCTGGAATCCCGATCAGAGTTTTAACTTCTTTAAATTGTCTTCTAAAACTGTTACATTTCTGATCATCCTGTACTGTAAGGGAGGTTTGGTTCTTGTAGGGAAAGCTCTTGAGAGTATGGTGTATGAGTAAGTTTGTGAGAACATGATCAGGGAGGAACTAAGAGAAGGATCCTCGAGCACTAAATTGAAAAAGAAAGGAGCAGGAGAGGGAGTCTGAATGAGAAAACAGGCAAGATGAAAGAAGAGGGAGAGTGTTTGTACTTTGACTGCAGATCTACAAACAAAATACTGTTGCCTTAAAGAGAAGAGAACAAGCAGCATGTGTTTGTGAAAGTGTAAAAGGAGAAAGCAAGTATCTGCTATAGGGCAGGGAGAAGCGTGTGTAGCTGCTTTGGATATTTGAGGGATGATCAAAAGCCTTAGCAGGAAGCTGTAATTGGTTTCGCTGGAGTATGTGGAGCAGCTCGTGCTAGAAATTTTTTGTATGTTTTGAATTATATTTCAGAAAACAAACAACAGTGTGTGAAACTTTTTTTTGAGGCCAAGGAAATATGTTGGTAAGGAGAGGCTAATGAGTATCGTGAGGTGGGTAGGAGGGAGTAAGCTGATGGAAGAGAAGATGGAGTGAAGTGAAAATGAGGAAGATGAAATAGAGGAAAGGAGGGGGGAGTGGAGGAAGAAACGGGAAAATGCAGATTAGAACAAAGGAAATGAGAAGAGAATGTATACTTTACCAATGCAAATCTTTTGTTGTGAACAATTTTTAAATTACTTTTTACATGAAATGCTTTGTGGCATGAAACTAACTTGAGGATATAATGATTGCTTTATTTTCTTTTGATTTTGTTGACTACTTGGTAATTCAGCAATTAATGCTACTTTCCTCTGAGCATTATTTTGCTCTTTCCTCTTCCCTGTTCTTACTCCACTCAGTTTTTTCACTTTCATTTTGCCCTCTTAGCTGATATATCCATAAGTTACTAAACTTGGATATTCCAATAATTGTAGCTCTCATCTGCAAGCTATGCATATTAAGAAAACCTGAAAGCATAAATCCCCAGGTACTGTTTGGAACTTCTAGAGCTATGTTACAGTAATCGCTTGAACCACGAATGGCCATATCATTGTTTAGATCAATTTCTCTTTAAGTATAAATAATTAAATTAAGGTCTTTCACATGTTCAGGTGGTGATGAGGCGTTTGGAGCTTTTTCACTAAAGCTCTCAAAACAGATGTGTAATTGAGTGCTCATTGATTTCTAGTCTTAAAGTCCTGTAAACTGTTAAAATACTGAGGTGGTACATCATATTAGCTTCTGCACATTTACAAAATAGTTTTTATAATGAGGAAAAATTAGGAGTTTTAAATGAATGTAGAGGTAAAAGATTAAAATTGAGAAAGGAACGCATAGAGAAGTGATAATTTCAAATAAAAACTGTATGTTACATAGTGTACTCTTCAACTGAATTTATCGTGAATCTGGAGCAATAAGTATTTGTTGATTTGTAGTCTGTTACTGCTTTGTCTAAGCTATTTGCCAGATGTCTGCAGTAGTTACACTAATTAAAATGGCATTGCCTAGTAGAGCTTGCTCTTCCCTCATGCTACTAACTTGGAGATATTTCATTTAAAGGTATTCATTTATTGCAACACAGTAGTTTTGGCTCCTCTCCCCTCCCCATCCCAAAGCATTTTCTTTTCTTTCACCCCACCCTGATTATTTTAACTTTTTGGCAGCCATGATCTAATGTTTCAGCAACACATGTGCGGGGTTCTTTAAATTCACAAATGTTGCTAATCTGAAATGAGAATTTCAGATATTTTTGCAAGCTTATTTCAGCTGAGCTAATTTTAGAACAGTGTTGTTGAATGAAACGTGCACATAATTTTGTGTCAGTCATGGGTGGGTGGATCATCCATATCTTGAGTATTGAGATCAGCTGTGCCAGCCAGATGAACTATCTACAGTACCTAATTCTATAAAATTAATAAACATGTTTCTAAATGGTCATCTAGTGGAAAAAGTTCACTACAAGTGAACAAGTTCAAAAATTTGACATGGATTTGTCATTCACTTCATCCCTAGTATCTTCATGGTAAAGTATTAAGCATAATATAGTCATTGATGCTTAGGTAAGTATAGACTGTCTTTGAATTTCAGAAGCAAAAGGTCAAGACCTCAACAAAAGTTGCAATTAAAATTCATTTGTAGTCAGGGTAAAGAATATACTCCTTTTTCTGGAATTCTTGATTTTTCTAGTAAGTTTGTTTCTCATAGTATTTCTTAGAAACTTTATATTCTAAAATGTCATTATAAATTGGTGAAGTGACACTGACAATTTGGTATGGCTGCTTTGTGGTAATGTGTTCCTACATGTGATAGTACCTATATTTAAGAATTATTAACAGTGATTTATGAATTATTAAATTGATACCTTAAATGTATTGATTCATATTGCATAGATAGTCTTACATTTTTGTTGTAACTGTTGCGAATCAAAATACTTAAGATAGGCTGTGAAGTAACACTGAAATGATGTTGAATAAATATCTAAAAGGTTTTTTAAAAAAAAATAGACCCTGTTAGAGGACTTTGAGTGAATTGGGTTGGCTGCAGAGTGCGTGGTTGATGGGTTAGGGGCTGCCGCTGCTGTAGTACATGTTTGAGATGCTACCCTCTAGTAGAAAAGTTACGTAATGCAGATCTAAGACCAAGAATTTTGAGCATTGTCAGCTGTTACTCAGGACGTTTTGGTGTTTCCTTTTGGACAGCTGACCTGCTCTCAAGAGACAATATAAACAATCACAGTAATAAAAATCAAAGTAGGGAGATTCCGTTGCATAATCTCTTTTATTTTTAAGGAGACTTTGTTTCCTGGAAATGCCTTTGATTGAGTGTCAGTGTTAAAATTTAAACTGTTTTATGTAGCTGTCACAAGTAGATAATTGCTAACAGGTGGAAGGAGAAGAGGAAAAGATTACAGCATTGTGCTCAGGAGGTTGATAGCAAGATGTGATTTAGCTGAACCAGTCCCCTTTTCACACTTTTCAGAGCATGAGAATAGGGCATAGTTTCCTTTCTCTGAAGGAGAGAAAGAGCTTTCAGTTTGCCCAGAAGGAAGCACATTTGCTTCTTGGTTTTAGCGAGGGAACCAAAACACAGGCAGAAGTCCTTGCTATGTTACTTGAGCATACCAAAGAGCAACAGGTTAAAGCTGGCAGCGTGTTATCTTCGCAGTCTAGCTTTTAGAAATCCCCATAACGTAACGCACTCGAAATAGATGTCGTCATCAGCTCCTGCCCCGAGTCCTAAGCCTGTTCAAATACATGTGACAGAAGATGGTGGAGTGGAGTGCAGCAGCAATTCATGTGGTAGGAGTGGTTATTGTATTGGGGGGATACTTTTTGTTGACAGGCCAGCATGTTTTGAGTTAAAATTCTGCAGCTGTCTCTCTCTCCCCCTCTCTCCCTTTCTCTCTGTGGATTTGTACAAATTCCAAGCTCCTCTGCAACAGTCGCACCCTTCTTATTTTGTTCTGAATAGATTTCACTGTTTTGTTTTTGTTTTGTTGTTTTTTTTCCCAGCAGGAAACGGACAGCAGAGGCGCAGATCCATTCAAGATCTTACTGTTGCTGGAACAGAGTCCAGTCAGGTAATGTCTCTCATCTCTTCTTTATCTTTCAGTGAAGTTGGTGCTGTGTCTGTACAGGGAAACTGGTCTGGAAATCTCTACCTTCGATACTTCTGTAGAAATCATGTGGAAGCTTGACAGAATGCAGTGCCATTTATTGCATTTAAATCCGATACCACGAGGGTAATCTATGAATGAGCTCTAGATGACCAGTGATTTCGATATAGCTCATACAGTATTTATCATTTTTTATGTACAAATAGTTCATGTGTACTACTCAATTTGACTCAGGGCAGATGCTATACAGGAAAGCCTTTACCTCTTTTTATGTAGAAAACAACTGAAATAACTACTTACGATTGCCTGAAGCAGTTATACATACATTAGACTCACTTTTTGCATAAATATTTAAAAAAAAAAGTTCATTAATATTATAAGCATATTTTTTAATGAATCTCCAAGCACCAACCAGTAACTCGGACTAGTATCTTTCCATTTCTTGTGAAAGTTCTATAGGAAGGTGTTATCACACCGTTTTTTGGTGTGTTTTTTTTTTTTTTTTAACATAACTGTCTCAATAAGACATTTTATAATTTCATATCTGGTATTGTAAATGCCATGGTAACAGACAGTGTTATACTATATATAAGTGAAAATATACTAAGAACATCTTAAATGAGAAAAGTACAGCTGATGCTTCATTCAGATGTGTTCATTTTGTGTTTTAATTGCTACCGTGTCTGTTTCAGTAATTCAGAAAGGATACTTCATCGCTAGTATGAATTAGCAATTTTGATGTTCCTATTATTGTTTGTATGTTGGGAAAATGGGAGCTTAACATGTTCATCAGGTTAATCAAGTTTCCATATTAAACAACATACTGCAATAATCTAAAATAGGTGGTAACTTTAGGGGTGATCAACTTTAAGGGCGATCAACATTTGATCCTTCTTTAATTCTGTAGACTGTGAAAGCCGCAGAAACCTCATAAATCACCCAGATATTATTAGTAGAATTTACTACTAATTTACTAAGATAGAATTTGAATCTATTAGAAAATAATAGAATGACTCTTAAATACATTTTAATATCTTCAGAGAAATCAGGTGTTCTAGAAATAAATGAATCTGCAAAATTTAGTAAAGAAATTGATTAGCCTATTTGGTTAACAGTAAAACAAAAATTATGGAAGACTTGGGGGGAAAAAATGAAGTGATAGTACAACATTTATACCATATTGCACTGATTTGGTGTATGAATGTTTTTAATTATAATTTTTGTTTAAGGTTTTTTGTTTTGTTAATTTTAATGAATGGTTAATATTTGAAAACATAGAATTTCCGGTTTACTTCAAATACTAGTAGCTTTTTTAAAACGTTTCTTTGAAAGCTATTCTACTGCTTGTGTAGCTGTTCTAGCTAAATTGCCCTTGTGGCCAGGAGGGTACAAAAAAGTTTTGTTTACTTCCTCAGTTTCTGATGAGGGTCTATAGAAGTACCAGAATCAGATTTTGCTTTCTTCCTTCTGATAGTGTGTATATTGGAAATATAAATGGAAGAATTAAAATTACCTTCTTTTATTTTACACTTCTTGAAAATGTTACTGATAAGGCATGGAAAACATAAAATTTTAACAGGCAAGAAAAATGCACTTTGGAAGAAATTTATTTATATGGACAGTGCATAATATATGGACAGTGCATAATACATTTTCACCTTTTTCTGGTGTGAGAAGAGAAAGCACTGGTTTCAGCAGCCTTTTCTAACTTCTAATATACATAGATACGCATATTAATATTCATTTGGGAAACAAGAAAACAAGCACAATGTAGTTTGAGCAGAAGACCTAAAAGTATTCTTTTTAGGTTTCTATAGCTTTGGACTTCGCTGCCTTGAATTCTTATTAAAATCTTGAACTGCGATGTGTATAAGCAGTCTACAAGCCAAAGCAGAAAACACATCTGTAACTAGTGTAGCTCTGGTCAGTTTATAGCATCTCCCCATATGCACCATACCATATATAGGTTATCCTTTCTAACATGAAAATCCCTTTCCCCCTCCCTCTCTTCATTGCAAACATCCTTCTTCCCTGCATTCCATTCTCTCTTACACCCACCCTTTGGCGTAGCCTTCATTGAGCTGCCACAGCACTGTGTGCTTCCACTCCCGCACCCAGGCCTTTTAAGTCCTTGTCCTGCTCAAAATTTTGCTGTAGCGCTGCTTTTTTATTATGACAAGGATTTAAAACTATTTGACTGAGAACACTGTAAGGCTGATCAGAAATCTTACTAAACTTATCTTTTTTTCTGGAAATTGCCAACATGTCAATAGAAAATGATTGTGATGTTTTTTGCTTTGTTCATATCAGGAGGGTTTTTCCAACTTGGAGTGGATTTTTTGTTAAGGTGGAGGAAAACAGTGTACTTAATAACAAATATACCAGAGTTTCTGGTGCTTGCCTGACAAGGGTAGACGAGGACTCCCTGCCTAGCTTCTGGTCTGTTCTAATCTAACCTTGTGAGTTTTCTGATTGTTCTTTCTGTGTAGTGCCAGAAGAATTCTTTGTGGGATTTGTATGGTGATGAATACGTGTGTGTGTGTGTGTGTGTGTGTGTGTGTTCACAGACTTAAGACATTTTCTAGTAATGGTCTTACTGATGCTACCAAAATCAGCAGACAGTAGCAATGCTTTGCAGTTGATTTTAGTACTCAGCTTACCCTTTTAAATTGAGAGCTTAGGTAGGAAAATATACTACACCGAAGGTTTTCAGTCGTTGGACCAGCTGCTGGAGGGGCTCGCTGTTGAGATCACATGTATTAAGCCCTGTTCTTCACAGGACTTGATGAAAGTCTTTTGCTCTAGTACTGGCTGACCTTAGACTCAACTCCAAGTGACACGAGCAGTGCTGGTGTAATCTTCTCACAGTCAGATGTCCATTCCCATTTGTTTCTGTGCATGTATTGTGATGGTCCACTCAGGTTTGCATGTAATCTTTTTTTCTCCACTGACTTGATTCCTCTGCCTTTCCATTTGCCTGTGCATGCACTTTAAAAACCCCTTAGGATTTATGCGGTGCCTGTCCATTACCAGTACTGCTCTTACCTAAACATCTGTGTAACACAGAAATAGATGTGCAGACTCTGAGCTGCAGCCATAAAAAGCTTTGGGAGGCTAGATTGAACACAACGAATCTGCTATTTATACACGATTGAGTCTTCATTGCAAAATTTGGCATTTTACACAGGTAGATTTAGAAATTTATTTGACATAATCATTAAAGATTATGCAATAAGATATCAGTAAGATATCCATGTCCTCGTCTACCTGTTTTTATTGGGTCATATTGGTATATATCATCCTTTACAATGCCATCATAATAGCAGAAATACTTCTTTTTAATGTTGTTTAACTGTCACTGGGCCTCTCTACTTTCAGTTTACTTTGAAGTGGAAAAAATGAATGTGTTAAAGAAAAGCGTGTACTGTATCGAACAGTTGAGAGGCAAGGTTTGAGTATGCATGCCCGCATGCAAGTTAAGTGTGAGAATTCATGGGATCTGAAACCATACAGATGAATCATTCTGCCCATGAGATTGTGCAATTGGTCACAGAGGCACTTTTCTTCCTCCCCTTTCATAGGGAGACAGAATCCGCAGATGATGAGGAGAAAGGGCTGGTACCACTGATTTAGTTTTTTTTAAATTTGTTTGCCTGTTTAAATTAAACACAGAAAAAATTGTGCTGTTCTGAGAAGGGGGGTTATTCCTTAGAGCACGTCAGCTTTCCAAGATGCTAAGCCTTTGAGAAATGGAAACTAAGAAGCTAAGAACACAGTGCGAGTTTGGCCACCTGGCAAAGACGATTTGAGAGTAACCTTACAAAAAGTATGTTTTTCATACTGTGATACCTGGAGGAGGCAAAAATGGCAAGATATCCATGAAGGGATGACAGAAACTGGTTGCTGAAAAGTGGTCACTGGCTTACCTGTCAGCAAGGCTGTTGTCAGGGAAGGTGGCTGTGGTCTAGTGCACCACCAGGAGAGCTGACGTATCTCTCTCAGCACACCCAACCGCAGTAATCTAACAACTATTCAGTTTGGGGAACTTCCCTTGGATTTTGTGATGCTTTTAAAATGTGCCCCAGATAGGAATCCTTCACTTCTGTCTCTAGTGATTTCATCTAAACAGTGTTATCACAGAAGTGGTTTTACTGTGCTGATGGACCAAAGCAATCTGGTACAGCAAGCAACCCTGTATAGCATGGTTTGCTAGAGTTACCCTAAGTTACCCTAGCTAGAGCGTTTCTTGGAACCCCCTTGCTGCCAACTATATACTCAACAGATCTTTTTGCTTTAAGGACTTACACCCCATTAAAAATGCTTGCTCTATCTTCTGATGTTTATTTATCATTCATATCTCAGCACACTGACAGTAAACAGTAAGCTAGGCCACTTAAACCTTCATAATGTCAACAAAGACTTCAACACAAAAGATTTTTCAAAATATCTGATGTGGTCATCCTGATAATATCATCCTGTTGAATTATTTCTACAACACTTCCTGGCTACTAACATAAAATGGTCAATAAAATAAATGAAGCTACTCCTCTTCATGTTGCTTGCAGTGGCTCTGTCAAAGAAGGAATACAAGGCTTATGTATAAATTTCAGTCCCAGTTTGGCAATTTCTTTGTTCTTACAGAGTTTCATGTCACTTTGTATTTATGAATGTATTTCCCTTGATAAGGCAGAAAGCACTCACATATGAGTTTCCTCAGCATGTGAAGACTGAAATCATTTAAGAAACATAGATAGCTTAAACAAATATGTAAGGGAACTTCAAAAAAAATCATTTTTAATAACTATTGGTACTAAAGCTCTGTACTTTGTTTGGAAACATTTTTCCATTGCATAAGCAAGCAAGACTGAAGCGTTCAGTGTTGGCACAGGGACAGCGTTAACTGCTGCAAAATAAGGTTTGCATTTTAAACAATTTTTAAAGCTCTGAGAAGGTAATAATTGAGCCATGTTTCTGACTTCCCTGTTTTACCCAGTAGACTTAAATTATTGCTGTTTTAAAGATGTTTCATTTTAGAAAGTATGGGCATTTACTGTTATAGGTCTCGTGTGTGCAGTCTAATAGTGTGTTTTCCTAGCCTCTTAAACTGAAGCAATTACCGGAGAAACGTATTGTAATGCAGTTGAAATAATGGGTATTTCAGTGTGTAGGATCTTACTACTCTTTGGATTGATGCTTGACTGAAATCCTGGCTTTTAAAATTAAATTAAGATACGATATTTGGAAATCAGGGTCATAAAGAAATACTGCTTCCAGGTAATGTATATTTGAGTGTTTCTTTTTTTAAAAAAATGGGGACATTTAGCTAATAATTTCATAGAAAGCACCCCGTATTGAAAATAATTGTCTTTTGAATAGCATCTTTTCTTTTGACTTTTTTTCCTGTAAAACATGGTGGGGTCTATACTTTTAAGTCCTTTACTGTGTTACTTTTATGTCTGTGAGAAGATGTATGGCATACAATAATTTATATTGTAAATAAGTATTCTGAAACAGAAGCTAGATGGAATAATGAAGTCAGTATTAGATCTTCTGTGCTTTGATAAGGAAAAGGATTTAAGTAGTAAAGTACTCCTTCAGTGTAAAGGAGGTTCCTGCAGAATTTTGTTTTAGTTTTCAATTTGCTTTGAGTGATAATTTCCACATTTTTTAATTTCCTCATTTTAATCAGTTAATTGAGTGTTCTAATTGATTGTTTTGTTAAAATACCTCTTCATGTTTTCTGAGGATGGATTGTATAACCTCCGACTTAACATAACCACAATAAAAACTGTAGATTAATACAATGCAGTCTAGTGCAGTTAGTAAGGTGTATTCTTTTTGGTGAATGTAGTTCCATTCATTGGCTAAATATCAGAAATAAAACATTATTCCTTCCTTATTTTATGGAGCTGATAGATTGCATTGAACAGTATTGTGAAAATTACTAGGTGTGTAGGTGTGTAGTATTGTGCTTTTTATATAAAGATCTTGAATGCATTGTTCAACAGTGCTTTTTATTATGCTGAATAGCAGAATTATATCCATTTCTTTTTCTATAGCAAAGATGAAGTAAAGATGGGGATGAAATTGCTGCAATGCATACAAGGTTTATAAAGCTATCTGGAAAGCTTTCAGGAAGAAAAGTTTGCAGGGAGTATTTGGGAGGAATATCGGTTTTGTCACATTGTTTTTTTCATTTTAATACTGTTTTGTAAAATGAACATTTTGGGAAAAAAAAAATGTTAACTTTCCTTGTCATTCTGTTTTGCTGTATCTTTTCAGGAGAGTAGAAACAGCAGTAGATCATCTAGTCCTAGTGTGAGAATGATCACTACCTCGGGACCAACCTCTGAAAAGCCAACTCGTAATCCATGGACACCTGATGATGCAGGTAATCCTTTGTTCATTAGTTAACCTTTTACATTCAAAAATAAGTAAATATTTGATAGGGTATGTACCTAGATATAGAGAAAATGAGGCAAAGTGTCATCCCATTTTAATGCTGGTTAGGTTAAATCATTACATCATTGCTTTGTTTCCAACAGTGGCTTTAAAAACGTTTCATATTGGTAATGTGAAGTTACCTAAGCTTGTAAGAGTTTTGTTTGTCACAAGGTGTTGTATGTGTGCAGTGTTGCTACTATTTAAGAGAGCACCAGTTTTTGTCTGTAAAGCCTCATTGGAGAGGGAAGGAAGTAGACATCTTGTGGCATTTTAGTGTCGTGCATTTGTATTATGAATGCACAGATAAAGCTTTCATTGCCCTGATTTCTGGAATGAAGTGCTACTTAGGTGAGTATCAGCTGGCATACATTAATTCTTTATCTGCGTGTTGTAATTTTGCTTATGCTGAATGTGTATGTGCACACAAAGTTACTGGTCTTAAACATATAAACGTGTGTCTACAGAAATGTAAATACTTCTACTAAAATACTTCTAAGATACTAAGATACTTCTAAAAGCATCACTGTTCTGTTACAAATTATGATTGAGTAAACGTAATTTAATAGCTGAATTCAGTCTTAAAAGTCATAATGCACACCATTATGAAATGGACCGCTACTGGACTGCATATAAATAATGGATCCCCACAAATTCCTTTTTAGAACATAAGAATTACATTTTCATTACCAGAATGTATACGGTACTCTTAGACTTAATCTCAAGTTGGTATTTCATAGTGCCTTAAATTCTGAAATCTTTTGCTTGTAATCCATTTCGTCTTTAACTGATCAGATTCTGTCATTCTTTTTCTGTAACCAACTGCAAAATGGAAACTCACATATGGACTGATTTTGTGCCAGCATATATATATCCATATATATGTGTACTGGTATTTTACCAAATACAAGGTGATTCTGAAAGTAAGATGTGTACTTTTTTTTTTGCCCTGCTTTAGCAGGAGGGGAGGGCAGCATACTCTTATTCCTTGCTTCTGTGCTTTCTTCTTTCTGTCCATTGTCACTTCGCATAATCACACTCTATGCCTAGTAACACACAAATTCCCAAAGCCCATGCCCTCTGCCACAGCCTTCCTTCTCTTGTGAATCTTGGATTTCAAGTTTATTTAGGCAGTGAGCACTTAGGGGAATTGCTGCTTCACACAGAAGCAAGCTCTTGTCCATTAGTTAAATAGATAATTCATTGGGAACTGAAAGCTGCTGATCTTATGCCAGTGCAAAGGCAGTTTGTCCTAAATCTCTGGCCTTAGATGCAGCACACCACTAGAGCTAAAGTCAGGTCCATTACTATGGTGGCTTTCTTGTTCTCAGAAGTCCCTCACCTTATACTCAGGTAAATACAGAATATACCACACGTATATTTTTTCTTATTAGGTTTATGCAGTCCGTTAACAAAGGGCCATTTGCATTTCTGAACAGATAAATAATTTTAGTTTTCTGTAAAAGAAAGTACATTATTAAGTTAATTGGGCAAAATGTTAAAATGAGGACACAGCCAAATCTGATCAATCACAGGAAAAATTACAGTTCTGTGACACAGCCGAAAGCTGAGGAATGCGATCTGAAGTATTTTGCATGTATTGATGTATTTGAAACATTGCAATAATTCCTTTGCTGTAGCAGTATTCCATAAATGGCAGTAATCAAATGTAGGGAAGGCATTGTTCTGATTTAAGACACTGTGGTGATTAAGTCTCTCTGGTTTTATTTTTTTGTTTATTTTTATTATTTTTACCACCTTCCAGTTTCCTTACGAGCATACACTTAACCACTTTTTCTCCATTCCCACCCTCTTATTTCTGTTTCCTTTTGAAGCTGCTCTTGGAGATAGCATAGTCTTTGAGGGCAACACCTTAGTTTCTCTACCACGACTACTCTGTGGCAGGTGCTTTTGGGGTATGGGTAAGCAGCCCCTTTTTTTTCCCACCTACCCTCCTCCATATAATCCTCTAGTAGCAATAATGCAGCAATAAAATCAGTAGTTTCTCAATGTGTCTTTACTCCTTTGTCTCTTAAAGCTTAACAGTAACCTTGTGATCCCTAGATTCTGGGCTACCAAAAGATATAACCTGTAAGAATTCAGAAACATGTTAAATGTGGATTAAAGCTCTAGAGAAATCCAGAGTAATTAAAGTGTAAGAAGAGAGCAGCCAGGCCCAGAAGATGGATTGGGTATTGGGTCCCTTGCTACCCACAAAGTGTCTCTACAGAGCAAAGGAAATGCCCTAGAGCTTGTTGTGAGGAAGATACTTAAAATCCTCACCAGGAGTAGGTTTTGAAACTGAGCAGGAGGTTGTGCTTATTTTATTTTGGCAGAGCCGGTTTGCACAGCTTCTAATTTTAAAATCATTAGATGCATGGCTGGCTGTCTGATCCTTCATAAACAAGAATGAAATGGCAATTTTTTTAATAAACAGAACACGATAGCAAACTGTACAAAAATAATATTTTAAAGAATGTGTATGCGGATACATGGCTTCTAGAAATGTAGGATAACAACCTTAATATTTGTTTCTTCTTGGTGTGATAGATCGTAATGTTGAAGTTCTTAACTTTATCAGAAAAGCAAAGAGTCATCTGCCTTGGGATTGGAACACTGCTATTTCCATTTGCCTTTTCACATTCAGATTGTGTATTGTGAAATCATGTAGTTTTCTCGGTTTTATCCTGTAAAAATAGAATTATTTGTGTTTAAAAATGCATTAAAATGTTCTTGGTGTTGTTACAGAGACCAATGGGTCAGATAACTCCATCCCAATGGCATATCTTACATTAGATCATCAGTTACAGGTAATAAATATGTGTCACTAGATGGTTTGTTTTGCATTACGTTCTTATGTGTGAATTTGGGACTGCAAAATATAGTGCCACATACTTACCAGTGTTTATAGTCTAACTTTTGACCAAGGCTAAAAAAATATATTATGTAATCTGAGATTGGTTGACTCAGATTTGATCAAGCTATTAAAAACAAGCCCTGGGAAACATGATCTCTAAAACCAAATGTAATTTGAGTTTGACTGTCAAAATAAGATTTTTTTTTGCTTGAGTATTACTGAATCAAATTGTTGCATTCACTTTATTTGGGGTGTGTGTGATTAAACATTAGATTGATTTTTGATCCTTGTGACAAAGAGACTGTCAGATTAATAACTGCAGATTGGAAGTTTGAGACAACTTTGGCATCAGTGCAGTTAAGTTTTCTAAGGCATGGTTTAACACTTGTTTTTAAAAGCCTACTGTTTTTTAAAAGATGTTATAAATACACCACAGAGACTTCATTAGTTTTTTAACGTCTGATTTATTTTCAGCCTCTAGCACCATGTCCAAACTCCAAAGAATCTATGGCTGTGTTTGAACAGCACTGCAAAATGGCACAAGAGTACATGAAAGTTCAGACAGAGATTGCATTGCTGTTGCAGAGGAAGTAAGTGAAATGTCTTGAACCTTTGTCTGTTTTTCTTTATGCTTCTTTTACACTAAGTCAGTTATCTGTGACTGCTGTTTCAGGCTTTCTGAAGTAAAATTTCATAGGGCATGGTTCTTTTCAAGACCTAATCTTGTATAGATACTGAGATATGCACCATAGGTGAGGTATTCAGAGCCTGTAACTTAAGTTTTAAGCAATATTAAGACTTTTCTTCTGGACAGGCCCTACAATAGTGTGGCACATTTGCATACATTCCATAGTAGTAATGTTTGTGTCATTTCAAGTGAAAGACCTGGGATGTTGAGGAACTTTGCAATTCTGTTTCACACACTGTACAATAAAAGGCTTCCAATTGTAAATTGTAGATAACCATTTGGATAATGCATTACAGAATTTTGAGTAATATCTCAATGTTATCTATTGGCAGTTAGATTTTATCTTATATCTGACTTGTGTTAATAATCACATTTATAGCAGTATTATCAAGACACATGTTGTGGTTTTCTACTAGGGGTTTAGCGCCTAATACATAAAAGCTGCTACATACTTTCTTATCGTAAGAGGAAAGAGATTATTTCTAGTGCACATTGTGTACACGTATAAGTGAAGCAACTGCTTGCATGTAGTGTTGGATTGGGGCCAAAGTTATTGCTGATTCAGAACTTCAGTTTGCAATGTGTTCTGTTGTGTTCTGCTTCTCTTCATTTCTATTTCCTGATGCTGGGGAGCAGTTCTGAGAGGTCATTACATACTCACATACTAGACCAAGGAAACAGCTTGTTACCCACCAGAGTTTGAGACACTGCAGGCCTCAGTGTTTGTGGAACAGCCAATGAGACAAATGTGTGTGTAAACCTCTTCTACTTGAGAAACAACAGACAGAATGGGGAAAAAGCTACGTTAAGATTGACCTTACATCATCTATTCATTTTGTCGTAGCATCTTGAAAAGAATTTTTTCAAGTGCGATTAGAATTTTTAGACCTTGTTGAGGTGATGCTGAAACTAGGGTGAAGATCTTAACTTTGTTTTTATTTCTATAGTCCCTCCAGATCAATAAATTATATAAAAATAATCTCCTGTTTCACAACTGTTAATTCGTACCTTTAGATTCCTCCTTTTCTTTTTTCTTTTTTCTTTTTTTTTCTGGAAGGTCTGTATAGATATATTTCTCCCAAGTTGTTTTTTCTTAGTCAGAACATAATTGCCCTTAGGTTTGAAACAAAAAAATAGTACTGTGATTGATGTATTTAATGCTGTTTGAGGTAGTAATTACTCTATAAAGGTTGAACTAATGAAGTTTTCTTTAGCTGTAATTACAAACCATATGGCAACAATTAATTATCATGAGGAACTTTCTCCTCTACTATTTTGTTGCTAAAATATTGTTGGCAGCTTGCCTTCTTGTCACCTCATAAACAAATAGTAAAACAAACTGCATTCTATTTAGCTACATCAGTTTTGTAGGATAATTTTTAGCAAGTTTATCAGTGCATTTGTTCATCTAAAATTGTTGCTTAAAAACATATTGAATTCTTAATGCGTAAATTAAGTGAAATGACAGTTACAAAAATAATCTGCCTGAGTCTGTTTTGCACTGCTTTAAAATATACAGCTCAAACTACAAAACAGTGTTTCAGTGTAAAATTGCCAGAGTTACTGCAGTGTTTTTTCCAAGAGTCAAACAAACTCTGCTCTAGCAAGAAGTTGGGTTGTAAGGGTATGTAAAGCACAAATTAGTGTTCCTGCAGCTCTGAACTTTACATGATGAAACATTAACTGAATTGCTTGGGCAACTCCAGGTGTTTTGGGTTTTAGGCTTTTGTTTTTTAATGCTCTGTCTGTAAATAATTAGTATGCTGGAAAAAAACAAAACTGCAACCTCATGTTTTATGTAACACTAATATGCTTCATAGAAATTAAGAGATAAAATTGTAGAGAATTTGTTCCTCTAAAAGTAATTGCTAAAAGCATTTTGAATTTATTGTAAATATTAGCTCAAATAACAGCAGTAAAAATAATCTGCCTGATCAAATAGCACTTCACTTAAAAAATTATCTAAATTATTGCTGTCTTGCCTTTTAAGTTGCCTACTGAATTTTTGAATATACAGTTAAGAGCTAAAATATTTATAAATTTCCGTGTAGATTCTTAGATGTTCTACTGTGACCTGTAGAATTACATCTGAAAGCTATTATAAAAAAGTAAAATTGTAGAGATTGAGTCTATTGTTTACAGCTGTTCTAACGTTTAAATGTGGATTTGATTTGGAAGAGAATTTCTCCTCGGAATACAGTAAAGAATAAGATTTTTTTTGTTACCTTTTTTTTTTGCACAAGATATCACCAGCCATGAATTCAGACTGATAATCAAATTAAAATTTGAAGCACATTAAGTCATCTACACACAAATAGAAGTAGACTATAAATGACGATTACTTTTTTTTTTTTTTTAACTGTAGACAAGAACTAATAGCAGAACTGGACCAGGATGAAAAAGACCAGCAAAACACATCTCGTCTGGTACAAGAACATAAAAAGCTCTTAGATGAAAATAAGAGTCTCTCAACTTACTATCAGCAATGCAAAAAACAATTAGAGGTCATCAGAAATCAGCAACAGAAACGGCCAGGCACATCATGATTTCCTGGGACCTTTCAAATGAAAAATATGCACAGAAAAGACTGATTTTTGTATTGTTATTATTATCCCTTATTATGACAACTCATGAGTGTAAGCTTCTTGGTGTGGTCTGTATTTGTCTGCTACACTTAACATCATTTAATTTTTTCATTTTCCTATGGTGGACATCCAGTTCAACAGGTTAACCTGATAAGGTGAGAAAACAGTGACTTGAATTAACCAACAGCCCTCAGTGTAAAGCAAGAACCGTGGCTGTATGCATGCTCCTTGTGTGAAGGCTAGCCTAACAAGTGTTAGAGGCTGCAAAATTGTAAGATCTTGGTTTTAGTTTTTGGTATTACCTCGATAAGAGCAAAACAAAAACTTTCCTGTTTAAGAATGGTTTTGTTCCAGTGTCTCATCTCAAATTTATAATGATGATTATTTTCAGGACATAAACATGCACCAAGCTGCAGAGGTGATGTTGGCTGACCAGAGTAATTCATGATGCATTAGTGATGCCTTTTACCTGTAGAAGTAGTATATTTTTTCCACATGCAAAATAATAGTCAAACTGATGCCAGCATCCTTGGTTCAGTGCTTGATAGCCCTGCATTTTGACTAATATATTTGTTGTAACCTTGCATTCATAAAATATTTGAAGTAAAAGGCTGTATTTTCTTTACTTTCTTGGGGGGAATGTCATGCAGTTCCATCTAGTTATAACTGGGCAGAAGTTATGAACGTGATTCACTGCGCAAAATTTATCCCCTGTATAAAAGAGGGAAACAAAAATGTGATAAAGTGTCTTAAACCTTCAAAGCTTTTGTCACTGAAGCATTCTTAAAAGGAAACTCAGAAAGCAAATTAAAACAAGATTGTAAGTATTCCCTTCATACCACTTACGGGAATATTTTTTTCTTTACAACTTAATTCCTCAAAAGTATTTGCCATAAATACAAGTAACTTTGTTTTGGATAGGAAGAAAGAGACTCGGGGAAATTAATTTTAAATATCAAATGATGCAATGGAGTTAAGTATGGAAATGGCAGAAGCTATTAAGAAAATGAGGGAAATGGCTTCAATCTTCATCAGGAATCTCAGTTACTCCACTCATCTGAACATACTTCCTTTGAAGTCCATCTCAGAATGCCTGCTGCCTTTGTGACTGAAGAATTGCATTTAATGAATTCAAGCAGAATATGTAATTATCAGTCTCATTATTTACCATTTCTACATGGGAGAAAACAACTACTCGTTTACGTTGCAGATTGATTATTTGGTTTATGAGTTAACTCCTAACTGGTAAAGAAATGAGGCATTTCTAAATAGTAATAAGAAATTATTCCTTACATAAGCTCCTGGTGTACTCAGTTATGGGCAGGGTTTTAACATTCTTTTGCAAAGGAAAAATAGAAAATTGAAATATAGCTGCTGAGCCCTCAAAGTAGGAGAGGTAACCCGATCCTTTGATTTCTGCGTACTTGAAATGAATAATTATTTGTAGGAGCCCATTAGCAGAACTTGGAGAAAACATTCATGGTAAAAATATCACAGTATTTTTCTCTTCCCCTTATAATAAACATCTTGTGAACGTATCTGTGAACAACGAAAGTGGCTGACAGTTTACTGAATGGTGTCATTCTGTCTTGAAAATAAATCTACTGTTGGCAAACTTCTGGGAGTAAGAAGTGCTTCCCTCTTTTACTTAAATAAAGGAAGGGTTATCATTCCCCAAACCTTAGCAGATAATTTGATTAGTTAGCTGAAACTGATATTGGGATCAACTTAAGGGCACACATATTTATAGCAAAATGTAATTGGTGGAGAAAATAACTGTAGTATTAGGAATAGCACAAGTTATCCAAAGCATTGCTGTTCGCATACATCTGTCCATCTACCAAAATGGACACACTCCGTGTTCAGCAGCTTGCTTAACATATGCTTAAGCATCCAGTAGGGCAGCATAAATGCCAACGCTCGACTTGAGATGCTTGGTTGATAATTACATACACAAAATCATTTCCCAGGACAGTTTTTATGCTTTGCCTCATCATAAAACAGATTTGTTTAAAATAAATCAGCATTGCATATGAAAAGTCACTTTATGGCAAAGTCTGAATAATGGAAGTGAACGCAGTGCTAGCTTTATGGTACCTAATACAAGCGTCACTTCTAACAGTTGTTTATGAGTTTTCAGAGTTTAGATTAAAAAGGGTCTCAGATTGTAAAATAAGTGCTGTGCTACCGGCCCGCTGTTGAACTTGGCTCTGTTCACTATTTAGGTTATATTGCTGTTCTTGCTATTTACAAAGGGAATTTGGAGTTTGACCTTTGGCTTTCAAGTTGTCTCTTTCTTAATTGCACCTTTTTTTTTTTTTTTTAATTATTTGCCTATAATTTTCAGTGAGGTGTTCTGTGTGGCAAAACTTGTGTATCAAAAAAGTGTAGAACATAGCAGTTTGGGCAACTAAGAGTTTAACAGCTTAATTTTCTAGTGACTTTTATTATTTTCTTAAGGCTCTTGTTTGAAAGTTGTTTACAAATGTACTTTTATTTTTCTGTTAAGCTATCTGGAGTGTTCAGGAAGTTTTTCATGTACTCTTTTGTCCAGTTAAAGCCGTTCCTCTAGTAATGGAGGTGAAACATCTAATTTTTGTCTGGGCAGTGCCTTCTCAGAAAAAGTAACAGGCTCTGCTTTTTGTTAAAGTATGTGTTCTGTAAGATATTGTATAATTGAAAGTATGCTTCTGTACACTGTGCAGTTCTACCAAAAATGCTTTTTTAGGCTTATTTGTGTTTTTTTTCTGATGAGAAGTTGAAGATTGTAATTCAAAACTTGTATATAAAATGGTGAATGATTTCATATGATTCAGGAATGAGCAGTGCGGCTTTCTGCTGGAGGGTTTTATTACATTTTCAGGAATCTAGTTAATAAAAGCTGAGAGACTTCCACAAACATGTAATAGTGCCCCAACACTTGCCAGGACATCCTTGATCTCTGATGAAATCCCACACTGGCTGGGGGATAATCATCATGCAGTTGTTCCCACCACCAAACGAAAATTCTTCTGTTATTAGCTCTTCCCTTCCTGTGTGCTGAAGTAGGGTGTTGGATGAATAGTCTTGGTCATGACCGAATATCGAGATATTTTAAGAATGCCACATCTTTTATACTGGTGCTCTGTAAAAAGATGAGCGCGATCTTCTCTTGTTCAGTGTGGATGAATTCCTTCCCCTGGAACTTCTCTATTCTAGTCATAATGGCTTTTATTGTTTAAGAGTTTCCTTTGACATACCATAGATGGATGCAACCTGTTAACTGTCTCCTTGCCTGTGAAGAAGACAAAATCATGCTTCAGATCTGTTTCAAGCTGCTTTGAACAACTTGGGCAATACAGGTACCCACTTGACCCCTCAGAATGCGTTTCCATGTGCTGAACTGGTTGAAGAGGAGAATCATTAAAAAGCAAGTCTGTGTATATGTTTATGTGCATTTATGCGTACTGCTAATGTGTATAGGTATGGAGAACTGCAAGTATCAAATCCACATGGATAGATTTACTTTTATTTCCAAAATCTGCTGAGCTGAGACTGGTAAGCCTGCTGTAGTTACCTTTTAGTTACTTTTAAAATGTCACTAGATGAGCAGTGCTTTCTGCCTGTGAAGATAAAGTTCCAGAGATAAAGAAGATAAAGACAGATACATACAGATTTGTGCATGTAAGAGCATACATTGATTATCTTCTGTGCCTGTGTGACCCTTTTCTGCTTGCAGGGACAATTCAGATCTCCCACTGCACTTTGACAGATTTGCTACAAATACTTTGACTTCACACCTGCACTCTGACTAGTCATGGGGGCATACTTAAATTCAGTTTTGCTCTTTCATTAAACCAAATAATTAATCATTAGTAATAAAAAGCTGTCTTAAAATACTTTAAAATCACCGCTAATCCCAGGACTTTAACCTAAACAAGTATTGATGTAAAGCACACAGCTATGATTTTGTTTCATTAAGTAGCTAAAAACTTGCGATACTTTAAAGGGATAAAATGGGTTTGTGTTCACATCATTAGGCCTGCTTTGCCATTAACCCCTTTCCAACTTGGAGAGTGGTGGTAGTCAAAGGCAGCTATGGGAACTGCTGCCTTTAATAGGTGGAAAGAGGAGCAGAATGATGCATGAAGGCTGGATAGGTTTCTAACTTCTAATCAAGCAAAAGGCACTGGCAGAGGCAGAGCTGGACAGGGGTGGAATGGAGTCCCTGCCTTGTTGGGGTCAAAGTGCCAGGAGAAGATGGGGGCATGATGCTGTGTGCCCCAGCTGTGCCATGCCCCTGCCAGACTCAGCTGTTTCCTCTCAGACCAGCAGTTGGTGTTCCCAGTGTAAATACAAATCTCTTAACACTGGCATGTAAACCAGGGGAAATGCAAGGATTTTGCCATTTCCCAAACTCTTTTCCCTCCCAGCAGCATTGAAAGGGAGAGGCAGTGGAGCAGCTGCTTGTGTAGGCTGTTCTCCTGAGGTATTTAGGCAGAGGACCAAGGAGTGACTTGCATTCATTCATATAGCATATTGGCTCAGCAGCACAGGACGGGTCACAATTCTAGCTTACAGCAGAAAATCAGTGGAGAAAAAAAAAATCCTATCAAGTATAGTTTGCTCTGAGCCCTTTTTGGAGCATAACTGGTGCCAACCCCATGTGCCTTTAGGACTACTCGGATTCCCTTCAGAAAACTGGCAGTGTTACAAACGTCAGCCTAAGGGAGGGACTACGTAGTCCAGTGAGGTGAGGATGTGGATTCACCCAGCCATTGCTGCAGAAGGGATGCTGTGGGCGTCTTTGTTCTCACAAGGTCCCAGAGGCCAGTCTGCCTTTGCCAGTTGCCAGAGGGCTCCTCAGACAGCTGCCTCCCAAAAGTTAAACCTGGTACGTGCAAATCAGGCTCTTATTAAAGTTTCTTACATCACCAGCAGCAGCAGCAGGGCTAGAGCATAGCTGAGAATTGTTTGGGAGGTAGGAGGTGAAGCTAATTTAGCTTGTCCTCTGAGCTCAGCCTGGGCCCTGTGGGGCTGCCAGGCACAAAATATTTCTGTCACTCCACTGTGTAGATAGGACCCAAGACAGAGGCAGCACAAGGAGCCATTTTGATCGCTGCAGCTGTGCTTTAAATGAGTGAAGCACAATAGCTGCATGTTGGCAGCCTTGGTGGGGAGAGGAGGGCTCATAAATTTGTTAGGGGGGGCCTAACAACTGCTCCAGGTGTCTGTGAATGCTGGGAGATGCTGGAGCTGCAGCAAAATTGGAGGATTGGGACAGTCTTATGCTCATCAAAAGCACTGTGTGTCAAAAAAATGGCTGAGGAGGGAGTTGGAAATTTTGTTTAGATTAAACAATAAAATACAAAGGCCAAGATCACCAGTATGCTGCATCTTGCCTCTCGATCAGGAAAATACACCTGTAGCCCTGGCACGAGTCCTGCTCCAAAAGCACTGACAAAGGAACAGCATGAAGTGGCACAAGGGAGGCCCTGGTTTTACTTCATGGTTGCTTTTTGACTTCCCGGTGCTGAAAGGAAAGGGTAAAAAGCCTTACAAACACTGCTGGGGAGCTGAGTTGACTCCCCAGAAAAGTGCTATAGGTCAAGATGAGTTTTCAATCTCTACTGTTGCAATCCTGATGTTTTAGGGCCTGCACCACCTGGGCAAATCCTCAGCCTTCACCAGCTCTGCTCAGACACAGCTGAAGAGGCCAGTTCCTTGCCAGCGGTGGATGGAGCTGGTGGTGTGTACTCCTGTGAGCGCTACCAGCAGCAACAGCTTCTTTTTACCAGCTCAGTGACCTGAACAAGGAGGGGCAGAAAAACTCTCCGGCCTAGCTAGATAAACATCTAGCTACTTCATGGGCAGAACCTCAGGCTAAGAACTTGATCTCTTCTCAGAATAATCCTGCTGTGACAAATCATGAAAGGTGCAAATTAGGATGAACCTTGAGAATCAGATTTGTTTTTTAATTGTCTAATTGTTCGTATTTGGGAGATTTGCTTCTTTCCTGACACCTGGTCTCTGAGGTAGCAGAATAGCTAGCTGATATAACTGATTACACCTTTCTGTGTTTTTTTCAGCTCCCACAAATTTAGCCCCTGCCAGTGAGACCCACATGCAGAGACTAGACAGTTACTAAAGAACAGTAAAATCTAATTGCAAAAGAAATTGAGTCTAGAAAACCTTAGTCTGTACTTGATTTATTTGGAAACTAGTTTTGTAACAGTGAAGTGAGTCATTTTCAGACTACCATCAGTAAGAGAGAGTCTAACAGCAGGCATTTACATATTTATAAGGTTTAAAGCATCGCTGTGTCTTCATTTGCCCAAGTGATTACTTCTAGTCTGGTCATTGAAGTTGCTGGGGGAAAAGTAGAATGTCAGGTTCACAAGAAGTGAGCCTGCAAAGTCTCAATCAAACAAAATGCCAAAATCTCAGAAACTTGCAAGAAAGAGAAAGAATGCCAATGAGAAAAATGAATTTGCAGCCAATCGGGCATGTTAATCCAGATGTCTGAAACTGTCTGAGCAGGGAAGCTAAACGAAGTACTGTCTTCACACCTGCAGCAGGATGATGTTCCTAAAAATTTGTGTTTTGTTTTGTTTTGTTTTTTCCAACTGTGTCAGTTGGACAGAGGCGGTTGGTGGGAGGTGGTCACTTTTCAAAAGACCTTGACGGGCTGAGAACCTGTCGCTGCCACAGCTACAGATAGCATCACGTCTGCCTGCTGTTTGCAAGGCTCTTCAGCAAAAAGTAGACCCTCAAGACAGCAGTCTTTGATCAGTAGCAGCGCATGCAGGAGAAGGGAGAGTGTGTGATCTTCCATATTTCCCATTTCTCTGTGTTTGCAGGAAAGTCTCACTAACCTCACAGCAGCTGTATCTGAAACAGGAAGAGCTTCTTATGAATGGTTTATAGTGATAATTATAGTGATAAGGAACTTGCTGCTTAAGATTCCTTGCTTTGAATTAGCTTCTTGCACCAAGAGGAAGGGTTGTTTTTTTTTCACAATTGGTTATTCCCCTTACCCTCCTCAGAAATACACATTAGAATTAAAGATATATATATATATAAAAAAATATTTAAGAAATCTGAGGTGTAGATGTCTTAAACAAAATAGCAGAGATCTCTATGCTGGCAGTGTAGTATAAAATTAGCCACTGTAGCCTTCCCTCAGCCAGTGTTGCCAACTCCTGAGAGCCTTTTACTTTGCAGGATGACTGAATGAGCTGAATGTTTTAAGAGGTGCTTAGAAGTGCTGAGTGATTATGCTGTGCTCCCTCCTGCTGCGTAATGGACAAGCGTGCAGTCGCTCCAAAATCTGCCTGAAGTGCGGAGGTGCTCAGGCGAGGCATGTATTCATCTGTGCTCAGCACTTTACGTAGTGAATATTTTTGCAAGATCATCACAACTGATCTCTCAAATCTCATTGCTACCAGCTCCGTGGTCTGACCTGCTGCCCAGCCGAGCGCCCTCGGAGAAGTGGCTGCATCTCAAGGCACGTCAGAAGCTGAATGCAGCATCAGTGTCGCTGTGGTTAGTTGCATAAAAATACTGCTGTACAGTATGGCAGTGCATCACAGGCCATGCTGCTCACTTCTGAACTTGGCATCGGTACAAATCCCTTAAGAATCAGATGATGAACACTAAGCACTTTGAGCTCTCCTGAACCTTTATGATCCTATGTCTGGCGTTTACTTGGACTAATGTGCCCCCTGGTATCTGCTCAGACCTAATCGTTGCAGTGTGAGTGATGATAATGCGCTAATGCTGGCTCTGCTTGCTTTCAGGCACAGCAACATTCAAAATCTTACAACATGATT